GCCGTCCATTGCTCCAAGAATGAAAGTCATCACTCAATATCTTCGTGTTGACTTGACCATGATTCTATCATGACACGTCCATCAACGGCCTTCTACCGTGGCGCCCCTGCAGTATCTTGAATCCTATGTTTGGAGTTCATTAAAAGTTCTGAGCGCCATAGCGACCCTCGTGTCTGCATCAGTCAGGCTGTCTTCCTGTTCTTTGATTTCCTTGTCCTCGCTTTCTGCTTTGGGATCACGCGCCTCGTCCATTTGCTCGCTTTCATGAGAGGTCGCAGTCACAGTGGACTCGAGGTTTGGGTCGATCAGGGAAGCGTCAGTATGAGCTTGAGGAGACGAGTTGCTGAGGTAATAGTGAATGTTTCTGGACAGGCCACCACTAGTAGAGCTAGCAGGCTCGGCTTGCACGAATCCATACTCAGGGTGAGAATCTGTTGCAGGGTTGGCTGTCGTGTAGTAGGCAGTGCCCTGGGGAGGATATGAGGTCTGGTCAGCTGCTGCAGTCGACAGAGCCTCTAGAGTGTGAGCTGCGACTTGCTGAACCATATCGGAGGTGGTAGGCGTGCGAGGAGGAGGGGTGACTGCATTCGCATCTTCAGCAGTTGGGTCGGAGACATGAATCCAAGTCACTGAAGAGTCAGTCAGTCATGTTGTCAAGGATGCTGGATGTTCGAAATACGCACGCTGTTGTGGCACCGGTAGAAACGCCTTCAGATCTTCTTCACTGTAGGTTTGGCTGTACTTGAAGAAACTGTCGAGGGAGTGTTCTTGGCCATCCTTGCCAAAACTCGAGTTCTGGTGATGGCGGAAGGTGATTGCTGTGTCTTGAGTGTCAGCGCCTTTGAATGTCTTTTCATCATTGCGGTGGGCAGGACGACTCACGGTCAGAGCGCACACAGTCGCGGCGTGACTTTTGACATTGCCCGCAGATCGGCTTCGCCTTGAATTTCACAGTCAGTCAGTTTTCATCAAAAACAAAGAACACGGCGCGCTTTTACCTCGTCGCATTTCAGCTTGCGTGCGCGGCAAGTCTGGCACCCTGTACGACTCCTCACAGTCCCTGAGGACTTTGATTTGGCGGGTTTTGGCGACGCCATGTTCGCCATTTTGCGTTGTTGTCTGCAAAGCACTGGCAGGTTTCCCGACAAACACCCTCGACTTCTTAAAGCCGCCGATGCCGCCGTAGTGGCTAGCGCCCTCGGATATATATTTATCCGATACGCTAACATCTTGGCTGACTGCCTCGTGCTAAAGTTGATTGTCACGCTGTGCACGTGAGGCAGTCACGTGGTAGGTGAGACAACAGGAATTGTGACCAGAAAAGACAAGTGAAATAACAGCGAGGTGAATTTCCATTATTGTGTGAAGTCAACTTGCCAAGAGATGGCAGGTTGTTAAGATTCATGTGAAAATGTCACTGTGGGGGAAGTGCGAACCGGCGCATCATATTTCAACTTATGATTACAAGTTCCGCTTCTGCTCGGGGTTGATATACAAAGCATCATGTTTAGTCTCGGGCTCGTCCCCTAGGGGTGAACCAATGCTAGAACCATAATGCTTATTTCTTCGCCTTCTTCTTTGGCGGTCGTTCCTCTTCCTCATCCTCACTGGCGCCAGCAGCATCGTCGTCAGCATCAGCCATGTCCGCATCGCTACCAGCATCACTACCGTCGCTCTCATGGGCCGAATCATATTCTTCAGCAACATCGCTTTCCGATTCAGCTTGGAAGTCCTCATCTGGTGACTCATCGTCCTCGTCTGCAGAACCACGATTCACGCCAGCGTCGTCGTCGTCGTCCGAGGAGGCTAAGTCCTGGTCTTCCAGGGCAGCCTTCAATAAGGCCGATGAGTCGTCGAGCATCTCGTTCTTAAAGCGAATACCCTTTGCCTGCGTGCCTGTAATTAGCCAGAGAGGCGACAGTCGAAAGCCAAAAGTTGCTTACCTGGAAAAACGCCTCTAGAGGCTGTTGTTCCTCACGGTTGATATTACTGAATTGGTGCTCCCCCTGTCCGTTCTTCAAGGTCATGGTGATGTCGAAGGTTCGGCTCGCTGCCAAAGCTCCTCCGACCCGTGACATGGTAATACTTTGTATCGTGTCGATGGGAACGTAAGTGGCGGGCTTCGGCACGAACATGAAACTCTTGTCCAAGCAGAAAAGCAGACCTTCATTGGCCTTGATGGAGCACTTAACCCCGTTCATGTTATGGTGACTGACAAAGTCTTTGGAGGGCATGATGATTTTCTTGCCCGACAGTCCCTTGAAGACCTTGGCAATGACATGGTGAATGGGGGCTTCGTAGTGTGCATCCAGCTTGTCCTTGTATTTCGTTTCCAGGAGCTCCTCTGTCATGTTCAGATCCAGGTTTACTTCATCGTCCAGTTTCAATTGCATCACGATAAAAGGATATCTCGTTTGACCTTGACGGAGGGGAGGGTCGAGGCCAAGGGTGATGAGCGTGTGCATTTCATCGTTCTTCGGCAGGATGAAGAACTTCTTTATCGACTGATACTGAATCTTGTAGTCGTATGTCTTTCCACGCAAGCGGAATGAATTCTCGTACATGTCGATGTCGAAACGCCCTCTAGAAAACAAGATCAGCACATTGATTGCGGGCTGCACATCAGCAACAGGACTGCGACATACCTGGGGGTAAGATGTAATATGTCCTGAAAGGTTGCGAAGGTGGCGCCTGCGACGTCTCCGATCTCTGCCTTATCCATCAAAGTCTCATAAAATAAGTTGGCGGCATTTTGTTCTTCTTCATCCTCGTCCTCGGCGCCACTGCCCTCTCCGTTCACTTCTTTCTTGGACACTGTGCCGGGGATATAGAACCGCATCTCAACGAGTTCATCCCGGCCTGCAGCCGCCTTTTGGCCTCGGTTCTTTGTGCTTCCGGGCTTGTGTCCATTTGTGCCATTCTGAGTTCCTTCTGGACCAAGATTGAACTCGACGGCAATCTCATTCTTGCCCGCCAAGTTGGTATTTGAGATTTCTGAGTAGGGGATCTCAAAGGCCGGTCGATTCTGGACGTTGAAAGCAAGCTCTGCTCTTCCAAACTCTGCTTTACCCCAGTTCCAGCCTCGCAGCGCATGTTCCTTGTTCTCCACGTTGATGCCGTACCAGATCTTGAAAGCCTTCGACACACGGTCGAAATCGTCCTGTTCGAATCCGTCAAGTTGAATGACGGCGGCATCGCGGGTGATGATCTTTAGTTCATAGCCTTTTGCTGCTCGACTCCATTGCGCCGCCCCGATCTGGTTGCTGTCTAGGGTGAAGGGTTCACTGGCTCCACTGGGTTTCCAACCAAGTCCGCTCTCTGCTAGACGACATCGACCGGGCTGTTTCGAGAGGTCCAGATAAATGTTCTCGAAGTTCTCCCTGGCAGGTTTGTTAGATTAGTTCTCGCTCTGTCGGAGGAAGGAACAGACATTGTAGGAGCGCTGCGCCACTTAGTGCAGCGGGGAGAAGATGAAAAGGGCTTTCTCGCAGCAGAGGTTGTGGTGTTTGACTGAGATAGTTTGAGAAGAAAGGTTTGTTGAGAACGATTCGGACGAGAAGACTAGGAGGAACCACAGATGACCACAAGGCAGATTGAAATATATCCAGACTCTGGGTTGGCGCAATGCGGAACTTTCAAATGTTCTGAGAGACAATTTACTCGGCACTGAGGCAATAGAGAGGCGCGCCCACACGCCTACGATGCGCCTACACGCGCCAACTTCGCAAGGGTTAAAAGCTTGGCGCCGGCGCGACTGAAGAAGCACTACCGAGTAAGGAGTCGCAGTTCATATTGCACTCACCTTTACGATCCTTACATTCATTTGCCCAGCTTCACATGATCTTACCCTACGTGTCTTTCGTTTCGTCCAGGATCTGAAACCGGATACTGCAGCTTGATCCAAGATTCGCTCGCCCGAACGTCTTCACATCTACTTTCACCGAGTGGTTCGCAAACGGGGGTTGACGATGAGAACTTGCAAGAAGGACTAGAAGCAAAGAGGAGGGTAGAGCTGCGAAACATCTTCTGGGTTGCCTGCCGTCCCGCTCTAGCATGTCGACGTTGATGCCTTCTCTAAATGTGGTTCTTGATACTAGTGGCGCTTCAGTAACAGATGGTCTCCCCAATAGTGCACTCACTATCTTCTGGTTCGGGGGAATGCGTTGACAAAACTAGCCGGCTCCCTCCTAAGAGCACCACTGTGCCATCTCTAAATTATGTCAAGACGTTCTCTGATTCAAGTGGTAGCCCTATCGCGGTGCTATGCAGAGCAATGAGTAGTCAATACATGCACGGGGGTTCAAATACGGGATTGATAAAAGCCTTTGGCAAGCCGGTTCGACACTTCTCATTGACAGGCTCCATGAACTCGAGGCCACATTCGTAAAACATAGTAAACTTGACATTTGTTGCTCATCTGGAGCTTCTAGCCTTTTGCTGTTGTGGTATGTATCCAAGTTTCCCTCGGTGTTTTTCTCGCACTACGTTTATGCTCGTCTAAATGTCTGATCGACTAATTTTCCCACTGGCGTCTTCAGGGAATTTTGGTGATCTTCGGAATGCATCTTACTTTTGGTCATGAGCACGACACAGCTCCCAAGCGAAGGTCCAGAATGGATCTGGAATCTTCAAGCTGCATGGACATCATCCACCAGCTTCCAGTGGTTCAGGGATTCGTTCAGTTCCCTCGAACTACAAACTCGGCTCCGAAGGTAAACATGATCTTGCTCGATTCCCACGCTTCTCTGCTGCCTCCAGGGCGTTCTACTGTTGCTTTCGTTGACTCCCATGATCTAGGTCTTTCCCTAAAATCTCCATGGTTCCTGTACGTCCCGGAGTTTCCATAATCGCATCTGTGGCGTCTCTAAACACGGCAGTACTTTGACGCCTCGTATCGAGCAAGACCACACATTCGGGCAAAGCATGGCGAATCACCACATTCCGAGTACAGGTATGCTTCCCAAGGCTGGCTTTAGGGGCCGCCACGGTGCGCATATCTAATGTCCATAAGCTCAGAAATATCGTACAAATACGAACCTCTTCCAGCTGAATCCATTCGACTGCTTTATCTCCAACCGGGAAGTGAGAGTGACCACATCGCTTGCGATCTGGTGGCCACTCGGGTCGAGGACGGCATGCCAGTCTTCGAAGCACTTTCGTATACGTGGGGAGACCTCACCGTCACACGAGCAATATCATGTGGTGGCTGTTCACTAGCAGTCCACAGCAATGCGTGGCACGCGCTGTCGGAACTCCGCCAGGCGCAGGGTGTCCGTGTCCTTTGGATTGATGCCCTATGCATAAACCAGGGGGATTTGGAAGAGAGGAACATGCAGGTTCAAATGATGCGGGAGATTTATGGTCGTGCGTCTCGTGCGGTTGTCTGGCTCGGCCGGCAAATGGATAACACGGATCAAGTCTTCGCACTGATCTCGAAGCTCTCGACAATGACGACGGTCGACAACCTCGACCACCAGACTGTTGCGTACACACATGATGATCTTAAAGTGGGTGACCTACCAGATGCTTCTGACCCGGTCTGGAGGGGTCTTGATCAACTTCTGTGGAGCTCTTGGTTCTCTCGCGTCTGGATCATCCAGGAAATCACCTTGGCCAGGGAAGCGCTCGTTTTCTCGGGCTCAGCCTCCTGTGGCTGGCACCAGTTGGAACTGGCAGCGAGGTTCGTGGAAGACCACTCGCTCACCATGCTTGTGGATGTCGACCCGTCCCAGGTCATCCGACTGGCGCGTCTCAAGGCTCTCGCTTCTCGTGCTGAGACATCCATTCTCGAGATTCTGCAGCAGAGCCGCTCAAGCAAATCCACGGATCCGAGAGACAAGATATTTGGCCTCTTGGGCTTGACCCCATCATTCACCCTGATAGTCCCGGATTACAACATGGCAACGCATGACTTACACACAGCATTCGCCCTCAAGATGATGGAGGTACACCAATCCTTGGACATTCTCAACTACACAGAGATCTGGGCCGACTATACTCTCCCCGCGGAGTCTCTCGACAAAACCCCCTCCTGGGCTCCAAACTGGTCGCTTTCCGGACTGACACGGCCTCTCCCTGCCACGGCCGAACTGAATGCGGGCAACAGGGTGATTTTTCACACATCGCCAGACTCTTCCCTTCTTCACGTCTGGGGAGTCGACCTGGGCACCGTCGATGGTGCCGGTGACACGTTCCTTGAGTGGATTCCACGACCAGGAAACTCAGTGCGAGGCGCCCGTCCCATCAACTGGGTGACGGACGCGTACCAGATGAAGCGCTGGCGGCAGTGGCAGCGCATGTCTGGAGGAACCGCCACCCACTACCCGACCGGTGAAGACACGCGGGAAGCCTACATCCGCACCATCGTCGCGAACGTCCTGCCCGACGGCGCGCACGATGGCTGTGCTCTGCAGTCTTATTACGACGCTTGGCTGCGTTTCTGGCGCGTCGGCGGGCGCGAGCGAGGCCGGTACCTGGACGCCTACATCCGACAGAGCGACCCGGATGAGCTTCAACGAGCCATATCGTTCATGGAATCCCACCAAGCGGCCGCATACGGCCGGCGGTTTCTGATCACGAAGAATGGCTATTTCGGCCTCGGCCCCTTTAAATCCCGCCGAGGCGACGTGGTCGTGGCCCTGTGCGGAGGTAAGACGGCCTACGTCCTCCGAAGACAGGGAAGACGGCACTTTGCGCGGCGAACACGTACCGAATACTGGAAAGTCATTGGGGAATGCTACCTTCACGGCGTGGATCGAGATGTCATTCTCACCCGCACCAACCACAAAGAATACATCCTTACCTAGTCGAGAGAGCAGGGAGACTCCCCTCATCAACATCGACATCGACGTCGCGGACTAGCAGAGGAAGGGAAACCAAATCTGCATTTCAGGCGACAAGAACCGGGACGACTCGTGTTGAGGCGAAATGCGGGAACTCATCACATTCAATGCCATGGATGGAATGTCTGATGGTATTCCGTGAACTCAGCCATCCACACCAACCAGGCCCTAGTCCGGCGGACCAGAATATCTTGACAAAGTATACGACATCGAAGGGGGAGCAAGTGAGAGATATCAGAATCGACCATCCAGCTAATGCGAGGCAGGTCAAGCAGACTTGGAGAGCCAGGAAAACATTGCCCTCTACGCAGCGATGGGCGTCCCACTCACGAGGTGCTCAATGAGGCTCACCTAGTACTTCGCGAAGCCCAAATTTCTTCGCACTCAAGGGATTCAGGCACGTAAATGGCGTCACCGGTGTCGCTCCACACACCCTCTGGTCGCCATACATCCTCCCGAAGCCTGAGCTATTTAAGGATGCTCGAAAGCCTTCAGCCTCGCTCGCTTGGAACTCTGCTTTTGCTCGCATTGAGAGGGCATGAGATCAGCCTTCGATCAGAACGTACGTGACAAGGACAGCGAATCGATCTTTATGACACCATCCTAGAAGTAGACAGGATGCCTTCGTTTAATCATGTCTGGGCTTTTTTTGGGATGTATCTGGTACCTAGCGACCTCTCAATCCCTCATCATACAATCAATCGTGTTTGTTTATCGACGCCCGCCTACAAAGCTATTCCACCAGGTTCCACGTTAGACGCAGCGACATCATCTCGAAGCCGGTTGCCTCCTTTCACCTGGGTCGTTCGAGGCTTTCACCACATTTTCCTTCGGTCGTACTCTTCGTTGCAACCGGCCGCGTTTTGTCGGTGTCGGCGGAGATATACCGAGGTCAGGAGTCGACACTGCGCCTCTGTCCTTCAGCAAGGCAAGAGCTTGTTTATCCCCAGTCACCAGTCGCCGCGGGAGGCGACTTTGAGCATGCCGACGAACAAATGTTGGGCAACGGTCCAAAGCAGCAAAGTCCACATCTTCGTCAGCCTGGCGCACTTCAGGAAAGTCGCGTGTGCAAGCAGATACGTGTGACTCTGGACTGTTCTTAGGTAGTTGGTTGTCTCTTTGAAGCTCGCTCTGGGCCTGCTTTCGACACACGTTGGGGCGCCGGTCCGGTGTCTTGGGCAGTTGAAACCCCCGCAGGCATGGGTTGACATCGCGGCTGCGAAAAGGCGCATGCGCCCTTTCAGCAGGATGCACTTCCTCGGGAGAAGACTGGAGGCTCAGAGTGCGGTATTGTTGCCCCTGGCAGTGAACCAGTGCGTGATGAGATTTCGCAGCGAGACATGCGTTTCGACCTCGGCGAACCACAACGCCATCATAACCCATTGCTGGATTATCCTTGTCGACTTCAGAAGCTGCAAGTATTTCATCGAGAGTGCCGTTGCTCAGCAATGCGGCGTGGTATACCTGGGATGCACTCGCGGGTGCCTCAAGTGCAGAATCTGTGGACCCTATGACCCCATCTCTCATGCTTTCTTCGTCGTTGCTTTGATCACCAGAATCGCTGCCCCTGGCGGGATTCGGCAGAGGAAACGGACCTGGTGGTAGAGTGTTTGGATCATCACCGATCATCCTGCCCAACGTATACAAGCTTCTGAATATTCTGACAGGAACAAAAAGCCCATCTCTGACATTTGTCCATGCTTTCCAGTTCTTTGCACTGCCATCCCTCTGATGGCACCTATGGCAGTTGGCCAATGCCCGTCTAGGGCGTCGGACCAGATTCCAGATGGCAGGGTACCAAGGGTCATCGTGTGCCGAGAGTTTGTGGGAGAGGTATAGAAGAGGCAGCATATATAGCCGGGCCGCGAGGAGGATCGCCAATATAATGTGTTGTAACAACCTGCGTATTGTCTCACGATACTCGGAGCATAGACTTGTTCTCTCGATAGTGGCAGCAGCATTAGGACGACTCGGAGGGGGACTCGTGTCGCGCAGCTGGGCTAATTTTGCTGACTGGTCCGGAGGAGTCGACATCCTTCACCGAAGCCGTGCGACCAGTTGAGTCTGTGTGGTTGCGAGTCTAATGAGGATGATAGGGTGGGTATGGGAATGCAGGGGAGGAGGACAAGGACAGGCGGGGAGCATGAGATACAATTTGACAAAACATATACTATAGGGGCTCAACCCGATATGCCGAGTGGGTTGGCGCAGGTTCACAGACAATGCACACTGAGGATAAGTTGCAGATCCGCAGAAACCAAGTCCATGGTTCATATCTGGTCTGTGAACGGACCATCGATGATGGACGATGATGGGACAGGGAAGGCGCATTGCGCATCTCGGACTAGTGACTTCTCACACTTTGGGTCTATCGCGGCCTGTTTGTCTTTTGTTGCGCCATGCTTCAGGCGATGCGGTGGTCAACATTCAAGCGTAGGACGGGCCGACAAGACAAGACGCTGAATTATCTGTTTGTAGGAGCTGGGTAGCTACTTGGGAAGATCTGGAGGATGGCAGCTTTAGGGGGTATCTGCTCGGACTGAAAGAACTGAGATTCCTGGGCGGGTGGCTAAAGAGACAGTAGACAACGAGCCAACGACACAGAATTGTATAGACTATATGTTTACTCCCAGAGTGACCGACTTGTGAACCCCAGGGCAAATTTATGTTATAGTCACGTGACGTTGATCTATCCCTCAGACACGTGACCGTGGCATACTACCAAATCAACCAATCGGTTGAACCGGATCTACCCATATAGCCAGCCAATCAAGTCTGCGAACCTCCGGAGATCCTTGCCCCGCATTTACTCGCCTCATACTGCTTCGCTCTGCTCAACAGGACGAGTACCTACAAGTAGGTGGTCGTGGTAGTGAACTTGTCTCCCTATGGCGTCAGTCAGGATACTGGTTCCCCAGAGCATGTGTTGGCGAGGGCGACACCGAGTCACTGAGATTTCCGTAACATCTCAGCCACCACCTGCCTCCCCACACCCACAACAAAGCGGGAGGAGAGCTTCAGCCTACACTATTTATGCTTAAATACCCGCAGGTGTTTTCTTGGACGCTCATTAGATTGTAAAGGTCTATGTTCTATCGACTCTATCAGAGTTGACATTGATATTTATCCTAATAAAACCTACCGGCTTTCCTACGCATCAAGATGGAACGTGATCTACAGAGTAGAACAGCCATCATATTCGCGCTGTCAGTTTACCAGGATCGTTACGATCCAAGAGATGAGAGTGACCAGGCTGATCCTGGCCAAGGCGATCCATGTCATCCGACCAGCATGACTCTTTGATGTCTCTGCTCCTCGCGGTCGATGCCCACTCCCCATTGATGTCCCATGCCACGAGCCGTGGCAACCTATTCAATGCCCTATCAGACCGTTGAGATGGCGACAGAGCAGCTCTATTGCCTCATTCCGCGCATCCAGCGTATCCAAGGAAACCCATCTCACATTCTTTTGATGCTCTTACCATACATGGCCCTTGACTTGCTTAACGTTCCTTGTATCGATATTTCTCCACATGAGGATGCCAAGAAGCCCGATCACCCACAGACCCACACTAGTAGCCACCAAAACTTCCTGTGTATCGCTGTACGCGTGCTGGATGGCGAGACGGGTAGGAGAGCCCACGGGATAGCCCAACTGCGTGTCGATGGAGCCGTAGATGTCGGTGAGATTCTGGAGTTGGTCGGCAGGGAGGTACGCCGCCAGTCTGTTCGGAAGCATATTCTGCCAGATCGCTGCTGCAACGGTAGACCCGATAGCGCCTCCGATACTGCTAAATATACCCAGGACAGCAAGACAAACGGCGACATACTCATGCGAAGCAGCTGCCAACATGGCAATCTCATCGGTGATCTCCACGATACCCTGGCCGACGGCAATGAAGACCAGGCACATGACGATATAGCCAACCTGGCCGTCCGGCTGGCGGAAGTGGATCAATAAACCCTGGCCAAGGATCAGGAATGGAAGGGCGACGAAAAGTGATATAGATTTGAAGTGGCCAGTTCGGTGGATAAAGTAGCCGGCGAGCACAGCAATGACAATGCCAACAATAGTGATTGTTTGATTGACATAGCTAGCGTGTGTGACGTCTTGATCTTTCACCACCATCAGGAATGAGCCGAGATAGCTGGCCCACAAAGAATAGGTGCAGAAGAGAGCGGCAGTGAGTAGGCACGCGCCGAAAACGGTCCGATCCAGAAGAAGCGAGTATGGGATAAACGTGAAGGTCGCAAAGAACCTCTCCCACAACACAAAAGCGAGGAGGAGGACCACGCCGGCGACCAGCATACTGATGACCAGGGCCGATCCCCAGCCTTTGGATTGAATGGTGTAGAGATTGAAGGGTAGAAGAAACAGAGCCACGCCGGCAGAACAGAGCAGGAGGCCGATAGCGTCGAACTGAATGCCGTAGTAGATAATAGACTGCATCGTAGTCCGGCCACTCTCGTGTTTTGGAATAATTCCCATTTTTTGGGCTTTGCAATAATTCCTCAGCAATAAGAAAAACAGCGGGAGTGTTATGACGGGGACAAGGATGGTGAACATTCCATAGCACCAACGCCAGCCAGGCCCGTCGAGAAACCCCTGAGAGATCGGGCCGGCCAACCAAGTGGTGATGAAAACCCCAGAGTTGACGAGGGCCTGCATGAGACCTCGATTCTTCAGTTTAGAGGTGTCTGCAACGAAGACGGATATGAAGTACTGAAGGCCGTTGTTGCCGACCGTATAAAAGACCATTGCGGCGGCATAGGTCTCGACTGTATTGCAGGCAGCCATCATGATTAGGCCGACGATGTCGAGGGCAATACATAATAGGTATCCCTGGGGACGGCCGAAGACATCGAGGATTTTGGCGATGGTCAGGTTGGTGACGCCTCCGATAACACTGCTTAGGATGGTGACCGTGGGCGTCAGGGAGTGGAGCGCGAACGCCGATGTCACAAACGGTAACAGCGAGCCGTTGACGCCGCTGAGGGTCGTCGCGACGAAATAGATGTACCAGAGCATCACGTATGCGATGATGAGATTCGTCTTGTCCCAAGCCATGGCCGTGGCCTCGATGCTCTGCACACCCGCCTGAGCATCGGCGTTGGGAGCCTCGTGTGGTATCGGCGGAGCTGGTGAGTCTAGCGCTCTTTCAGTGCCGGCCGGCAGTTTGGTCTCGATCGGTTCGTCCGCAGCCATTGTGAAGATTGGTCAACAAGGTAAGGCGGCATCTATCAAGAAAGAAGAGAAGTCGCGCAGAGAGGGAAGGAGAAAAGGAAAGAGTTAGAGAGGCTTTGACGAAACCCTTTTACGGTAATGAACACGAATATCTACGCAGCAGGCAAGCCATTCGCCAGGCTTTACCACGAGAACATTCAGGGTTGCATCGGCATCTTAGCCGGCATACCCTGCGCATGTTGGCATCCCGGCCCAGCGCCATCGGATATCTAGTCAAGTACCAACATGCTCACAGGCGGCCAAAAGAGATGAAGGTGCTTGACGAAAGCATCTATGTGCCAGGGTCCCGCTAGGGTCGGACCACAACGCCCAAGCGGTAGTGCTCGCTCGCATCCCCCGAAGAAGAAGGGGGGGGGGGCACTGAACGGGACCCATATCGCGTATCGGTAATTCCGATCAGTCTGTTCTCATGGGGAGAAACAACACTTCACTGTGCTTTACGGAGTGCTGTAGATCGATGGGTTATTAGCTCATCCTACAGCGTATGATAAAGGCTAAGCAACAGACCCTTGGTCGGGAGAGAATGTTTATTTGCGTACCATCAGCGGCCGAAAGGATTTTTGTCTTCAGATTTTCCAAAAGTAATTACGTGGAATAACATGAGCAAGTTTCCATTTCCCCTTTTCCCTTGGATAAGTAATATGAGCAAGTTTTTCAAAGTCCTGGTGGGTACAGGGATGGCGCCTAGGGGAGTTTACCCTAATGTATGATACAGACAGCGCAGGCGGTTTATCATGGGTCGTGTTCTTTTGATCGGAAGAGACCGTGCAAGACAGTACAGTAGTTTTCCTCAGGTTCGCGTGTTTCCGACTTCGTTTGCAGTCTCGAGTCGTAGATTTTGCCCCTTTGGGGAGCGACCCCAGACCCCTGGTTGGACCCTGGAGCTATCTTCGAAGAAGCAAATTGCCTGTGCATTTGACGGAAGGGCACAGAGTACGGAGTAGACTTGCTATGATTGGAACCACCTGCTAGACCCTCCACTTCTCATGAAGCAAATGGTGGCAAATGATACAGGAGGGGAGACTTCAACACTTGTTGAACGAGATCAAAGCCAACGTTGCCCAGTCTGAACTCGACCGTGTCAGAGAAATGGACTTGATCGGAGGTTTCTACTATTCTAGATAGCACCCTCTTGGGAAGTCTATGATCAGAACACTATTCACTTGACGGCCAATGGCATCTGAGTTTAGTGTCAAGTCGGGCTCCAGAGACGGTTTCTCACACTTCCTTGAGTTCAACGCCCTCGGCGGATATCTCGGTCCCTTCATCCTTTTGGGCGTCTTTGGTATTTTCGGAGTCTTCTGTTGTTCCAGCATCTTTATTCTTGTCCCCTGTTTGCTTGATACTTTTCCAGTCCACTCCAAGAGTTCCAATGGTCGCAACACACAACAGGACCAGGGCGACCAAGAAGGCCCGAGACAGTGCGTCATTGTAGGCAACCCTGATTGCCTCTAGTTGATCATGGTCTTTCGTCAGGCTTGTGATCTCTGTCGCTCCTGTGCTGACAACCTGAACTGGGTCGATACCTGCAATATTCTGTACCTTTGATGCGAGTGTTTCGGTGAAGATATTCTGAGCCACACTGACAAAAACCGCACCACCACAATTTTCACTGAAGCAAAGAAGTGCTATGCTGCTAGGTATGTCAACGTTCTTCGCAGCCGCCTGGACAGCCACTACAGCTTGCTGTATGCCGAGCCCGACGCCAATGCCATAGAGAACCTGATATCCTATCAACTTGCTCGTCGAAGTATCGATATTCCATGTATAGATTAGTCCCGCACCGGCTGTTCCGAGAGTGATGGGAGCGAACATGAACGGATTATAATAACCCATCTTGCTGCAAGCCCAGCCACCCGTCATAATGCTGAGGATGAGGCTGATCATAAATGGTAGAAGATCAACTCCAGACTTTTCTGCAGAAGCCCCATGGATTGCCTGGAACCAGATAGGAATGAAATATGCCATGACGAAAAACGAGGAGCTGACACAAAGAGTGTAGAGGGTAGCGCAGGCAGTGTGGCGAGAGGCCAACACCTTCCGGTTCAAAGTCGCATTGTCGCCCATGAAAGGTTGGACTATTCCAAACCCGAGAAGGAGAGTCCCAAACATCACCAAGAGCGCGATAATTCGACCATCACTCCATTTGTACGTTGTCCCTCCCCACTGCAGCGCTAGCAAGAGACATATTATAGACGGCGGAAACAGGATCGTGCCGATGGGATCGAACCTGAGAACATAATCTTGCCAGGATCTCAGCTTTTTGGGCATTGGCTTCGGAGGATGGAGACAAATGGCCACAATGACGATTGTGAGGCCACCGAGTGGCAGATTGATATAAAAACACCATCTCCAAGATGCGCGGTCCGTTAGGATACCTCCCAACAACGGTCCAACAATGCTAGCCACGCCGTATACAGCAGTGACCAGCCCGATGAATAGACCTCGTCGGGCCAAGGGGACAACCGTCGACAGAGTGGTGAGTGATCCGGTAAAGATTCCTGAAGCCCCGAATCCAGAGATAGCTCGGCCGGCAATAAGTGCAGCAGAGGTAGGCGCGACTGCTGAGATCAAGGATCCAGCTTCGAACAGCATGATGCAGGCCATGAATAGCCACTTCATGTTCAAGAAGCTATAAAGTCTTCCAAAGAACAGCTGGAATCCCGCAACAAACAATAGGTAAGCAGAAGCGTACCATCCTACATCCGATAAGGATTTGAAATGGTCTGTGATCCTAGGTATGGCCGTGGCAATGACTGTATTGTCAATGGCGATACAGAAGTTTGTCAGTTGAAGGCTGATGACAATCAACATCAATTTCACTCCAGTTGCATATGCAGTCTCAGTGTCGCTGCCAGCTTTTGAATCTTTATCTTGATACTCGCTGACTGGAATATTGGTTTCATCGTTGGTGATTGAATCATTACTGTCGTCTAGTTCTGTGCTTCATTCAGCTTTTGTCTCGAACTGATCTCAGTTGGTGGCAGACCCTCATTGTTGCTCGATCCTTTCGAAGGATCGCTTTGTCCATCGAGGTGATTTGAGGACGTTTCTTCGGCCATTTTATTGACCGACATGACGAGCTTTGAAATCAGAAGACTGATTGCATGGGAAAAAAAATGGTTTCCAGAGAGTATCGGAAATGATGTTTTGCGATCTTGGGGGACCTGAATTACTTTGTTCAACGAACTCTTCCCTCCAGGACTTTGCGTAGCAAGAAGAATTGAGATTGCTATACGCGTCCTAAAAAAAATTTACATGGACACGCCTGCTGCAACTTTCTGATGACTTCGAACCCGATGTGCCGATGCTGGTAAGTATCTGAGCGAATTCAATGATGCGGTCGGGAAACCACGGTGGCCTGCAACTAAAACACCAGCTGTAGGATAAACAATGCCGATGTTACAGTGCATAAGACAGTGATGTGTCCGCTGTCTCGATGGTTGGATTTGTATCGGGGAGACTAAACTTTCTCGTATTCCACTACAGTACGGAAGGATGACCTATCTGCTGCCGACAGCTTTAAAGCTGTATCTACAGTGAATGGAAACTTGCTCATATTCCACCAGGCTCTATCTTGAACCTGCAGGAATTGAAACTTGCTCATGTTCTACGCTGTCGAACATCGTGTCTCGATCTCTGCACAGTAAGGGGTCGGAGCGGAAGGAATGTTACATCTACGAGGTACATGGAATGAAAACTTGCTTATATTCCACCGTAATGCAGTAGACTGGGCGTGGTTGCAGGCTCTATCTTGAACCTGCAGGAATTGAAACTTGCTCATGCTCCACGCTGTCGAACATCGTGTCCAGATGTTCTGTACACTGGGAGTCGGGGCGGAAGCGATACCCTTGACAGACAACGTGAGCGCATGCGCTCCCTCAACGCCATATTTGGTTAGCTCCGTCTAAGCGTGCAGTATATACCTTACAAGGTTCGGTCCGATTCTCGTTTACCTGTACGTCGGGAAAGTGGAGTTCACTAGAGAAGTACCATATGTGGATCGAAGACGAAGTACCGAGTACATAATGCATCTTGGCACCGCGCTGAGGAACTTGACCCTTGAGATAATATAGCTAAGCACTAGTCTGCACGATAACTCTCCACCAATAGCACTGGTAGATGGAATCTAACTACGTCAAATTTACCATCCTGTTCCTGGCCTGATGTCCAGAAGCCTGGCGTACTTGGTGAAGTGTTCATCAACCTGCAGCATCTTCAGCTCTTCCGGTAAGGTGCCCAATTCAAGCTCTACACCGCCGTCTGCTCTCAAAGGATGGATGAGAGAAAATCTGAAACGCCGATGCCCACGTTCTATCTGTGGCCAGACAGCTTCCGGCCTGCCTCCAGCGAAGATGCCCTCACCAAAAGAGGAAAGATTGTCTTCGGGTTGCCACAAGATCATGTTGGAAATCATCTCATTCATGTGCTCCAGACCCATGTTCGCAGTCGCCGGCTTGGTATAATCCGTCATCGATCGCAGGAGAGTGAAGGCATCATGAACCAAGGCAGTGTTGACTCGGGATAATGTTTTGCGAATCGCCGAGGCAATCTTTGCCAGGCTGGTGTCTGGCGAGCACAGTTCTTCGATAGGCATCATTGTCCGACTCATAATGAGTAAGCTGCCCATGTAAGACGACGGCAATTGTGAGGAGAAGTACAGCCTGCCGTCGATGGGTATCTCCAAAATGGACATGTCATCCGGGCCAAAAGCGTGGCCTCGAACTTCTTTGGCCACCAGATATCGTGCCCGGATTGCTGTGCGCCACAGGAATGCCTGGACGATGTCGCTGATTGATACGTTCTTGCTCCTAACTTCAGGGTGCGAAGCCACGTCGTATTTGAGCTTTTGTAGATTCTCGCGGGAGATCAAAAAGAACGTACTAGCCAAAGAACGATCTGAAGGCGCCGTGGGCCATCTAGGCTGGCGTCGATAAACCGGCCTTGGGAAATCCAGTGAGAGCTCTTTGGAGCTTGTCCTGATCTTGCGGTCGCGGGCTTCAACCACCTCATCCGGTGGAAAGAATGGCAAGAAGTCCCACACAACAGGGTCGACTTCGTGAGCGGCTTTGGAGTACCCCTCGCGCTGGTAGAGAATTTCGGGCAGACTGTGATTGAAACTCTCTGGGTCGTACCAGTCACATGTTGCTGAATGATCCCCGTGCACATATCTGCAGCATTCGGCCCAGACTTTGAGTGCTATCAAGGCGCCTAAACCGTCAAAACAAGTATGGATGAAGTTTGTGGCTAGAATGCATCCGCCCTCCACAAAGTTCGCATGAGCGACCAGGAGGTCGGCGGGCATATCTGGGAAGGGATAGCAGTCAAGAACGGTTCTGTCTGCAAAGAGAGAACGTGAGAAACTCTTGTCTCGCATCTCTTGGAATGACGGAAGAACGTGCTTCATATCCTTGTAGAGGAGCTGTCGAGGATTAGAAGTCGTTGCCATCGAAGGAGGGGGGATTGTGATGGAGTATTCGCCTTTCCTGTAGCCGAACTCGTGTTCAGGGGCGTGCATCATTTTTCCATCAAGCTCGGGGATGATTTGGAATGCACGACATAAACCGGCTTGGAGACCTTTGAAAGCGTCTTGAGAACTGGTCCCAGGAGGTAAGGCGAAGAAGAAGGTGAAGCCCATATAGTGGTTTGGATTCACTGCATCAAATGGATTCATTTTGAAACCCGTGCGTCGGTTGTGCTCATGTATTGCGTTCAGAAGACCATGTTCCTTGGTCGAACCATTTGTTGATTGCTGGATTGTGTTTCCGTCTGAGCGGTCGACTCGTCCATTTGTAAGTTCATTGGTCGGAAAATCTGCCGTTTCTTTCGTTTCTTGTTGTAGTAGTGTTGCGAGGAACGCCGAAAACTTGGAAAGCGTTGGATTTCCATATAGATGTCTAGCAGTAAGTTTGTCCTTCAAACCTGTAGCTGCTCGAATCACTCTTATACAGTGGTATACCAGAAGAGAATCCAGTCCCATGTCAAAGACGTCTTCGTCCGGTGATGCGGCTTGAACTTCAGGGATGATCGAACACAATACTTTTCGAACCGAAGAAAGAATGGTGTCCTCTGAAGTTGCGTCTATTCTGTACATGTCGAATTCTTCGTTGATTGCTCCTTCATCCCTCGTGGCGTAAAAGCGATCAATGAATTCTGCATAGAGTTCCAAAGTGGCTCGGCGCTTGATCGTTGACTTGTCCGTCCGAATGAAGGGCTTGTCTGGCTCTGCAAAGGCAATATAGTCTCGTTGGAGTCTGACCTTTTGGAAACCAGAATTATTCGCTCGTTCCACGATTTCCCAAATGCTATCAAACAACTCATTGTTTCGAGTTGAAGGATGTTTGAGTTCGATAAGCAAACCTGCCTGCGGTTTGCCTGTCCCAATGACGAGACAGCCATCAACTGCAGAATGTGTTGTGATCAATGCTTCTGTGTCCAAAGGAGCGATCTTGTATCCGTTGGACAAAACCACTGCGTCATCACTTCTTCCTTTGTAGGCGTACAAGTATGGCTTGGAGGGATGTCGTATATAGAGGTCTTTGAGGTTCACAGATTCTTGGTCGGGAAAGGTGTAGAATACGCCTTGGAATAAGTCCCATTGAGGTTTTCGAAGCACCCAGTGCTCATAAACCCCCGGTTCGATTTCTTTGAATTCGAATCCCGCGAGAGGATGAAAGGCAAACCAATGCCAGTCTTCTCTTTCCGGCCAAAGATTGCCCATGAACAAACCTTCCGTAGTTCCGGTCAGATTCATCACTCTTACGACGTCGTTGACCTTTTTGACGAGAGTCGCACTGACAGGACCTGAAATCATGCCGAATTTAGTTTGATGAGCAATATCTTAGTGGAGTTGCGTATTGCTTACCACCAGATACACAAATGAATTTAGCAGAGGCGAACTTTGGCAAAAGCTCAGAGGTTTCGGCTAGTTCATCGGCGAGGGATGGAATCATATGCCAGATGTCGATTTTTGCATGATCCACAAGATTTTCCATGAGCGCCATGTTGGGCAGAGCTTCAGCCGGACCCAAGACGCAATGAAGCTTGAAGAATGCAGGCACGACAATATCCATCAGCATGCCAGCACCCTGATATTTCCCAAGAATCAGCATTCATCTTGGATTTGAATTCTGCCCGCCCAGACTGGAGCAAGGTGGATCGTAGGGAAGAGTAACTAACATGACTCATTGGAAATGACGAGTAGATCGTGTCTCCTTCATTCCAGTTATCAGTCCAAGGGGGAAGTTCATGATCCCCCTCCGTCGGAGGAAGCAAGCGTACAGCGTCCAAAGTACCAATCAGCCCATGTGTCCAGGAGATCGGTTTTGGAATTCCCGTGGTGCCAGACGTATGTGTGATACAAAATGGCTCATGCACAGCTTCTTCAAAGGTCTTCTGAAACGGAAATGGCTCAGCAGTTTCAGCATCGAGAAGCTCTTCCAACCCAGGTAGTTCAAGGATCACCATGGGCTTTGACGATGTGAATCCCTCAACTAAAGGGAGTGCCGGTTGTTCCCAAGGCTTGACCCAAACATCGCATTTAGCTGCATTGAGAACTGCCAAAGCACCTTGAACATTGTTTTTGGGTGATAGAAACAAGGCCTAGGTTAAGAGAATCTGAGCTGTCTCCTCTGGAGTGAAATCGTGATGCCGAGCAACTTACTGCGCAGTCAGCCTTGATGGCGCCGTAGATCAAAAGAATATGTCGGAGATCATCTTCGCTCGAGTTAATATGCCAGTTTTTTGCTCACAAGGTCACGATTCTAACTTACGAGGGCCAATATAACCTATTGTTAAGATCTTCTTGTTGGGTTCGCCACCACTCTCATCAGGGCCTTCGTTGTGAGTTTCCCTGTGTTCTCTGGTCTGATTATAGAGCCACCAAGCGGTCTTGTCAACCGCTTTTGCAAAGAGACGAGCAGTAATGGTCTGGAAATGTGCAGTATCATTTCGAAACGATGCCAAAGAGTAAATTATTCGATCAGGTTCAGTAAGGGCCAGGTCATCCAAGATCTGAGGAAGCAGCCTTTTGCCATATCTTGGTTGCTTATCGACAGCCATTGCAGTTGATGGATGTGGAAATATCGGTGGACTTGGTCTCTTGAGTCTCCAACGAGCAAATGAAAAGGTCGAAAATCGAAATGTGATGATGGGCTCTGTCGACAACTTATGGAATCATGCTTTACAGAACCAGACAATGTGCACTTTTCTAGCTTGGTGAAATCAGCTTTTAACCAGGCTCCGAGGTCCATCTTCCGGCTGCTGCGTCTTCCACTTCGCCGCTCTGCTGCCGTCCTTGAGGTTATGCGAGAGGCCACGTCTCCCACGCTACTAATCCAGGGTGGAGGATCATTCCACTTGCTGCACATGCAGTGTAATGCAATGGACATGCCTTACTTTGAGACTAATCGAAAAGGATATAGATTATGATGTGGGTCGCTTCCTTTTGCGATGTAACATCCTTGATGTACGTACCCGGTAAGAGTCGGTGAGCATTGAGCATGTTTCTGCCTGTGTGGGACTGGCCGGGTCCCCAGAACCTTTTGACTAGAATTGACAGGTTGTAGTATGGCTGTAGCCGCAGCACATACTATACTCACCAGATCCTGTCCTGCCGTTCACTTGGGATAAATCATCATCAGCAAATCTTGTTGTGCTCTCAAAGTATCAGTTGGACAAGTGCAGCGGATTAACTCTTCTGAACCTCCAAATTGCTCTTCATACCATCAAAATATGGCATTTACTGCGGATACTGATTCGATTACGAACGGCCATGTGCCACACAGTGGATGCCTTCCCATTCCCAGTCAGGATGAAATGCCCAATGCCTCTCTCGAAAGTCTGGCACCATTCAACGTCATACCGCAAAAGCTCGCAAGCATGGTAAACACGAGTCCGAACACACTGACTTCTGATGAAGAGGATGTCTCCATCACCCTCATCTCCACCAATATCTTGGAGATCATCTTTGACTACGCGTTGAACAAATTTGACGACTGTCGAGATCGGCTTGAGGCTGGAAGACCCAAGTTCATATCGGTTCTCAATAAGTTTGTCAAAGCAGGGGTCCGGATCGATATGTGTCTTCCAGCATTCCCCTTCAAATCCGCGAACAAAGTCTACAAGGCTCTCGGGTTTCTGCCCGACAAGGCCGAGGAGATCGCCTTGACCCGGTTGCACAATATGTGTAGGCGTATCGAGGAGATATATGCACCGGGTGCTCACGTTGTCATCATTTCGGATGGGCTTGTCTACAATGGTTCGTCCCATGATGCTTTGTCACGGATACTCATTAATGCGGAACTGTAGATCTGCTAGGCATTTCAGATCGAGACACTTGGCATTATGGGCAAGCTCTACGAGAAATGGCCGTCGAAAAGGCATTCACCAATATCGGATTCTCCAGATTGAAAGACTTTGGAGATTTCAAATTACCGGACTCTTTGGACGAGATTTCCTATGTCGCCAACGCTACCAACTTCCGTCGTTTCATTCTCAACAAGTTTGGGAAAGATGACCTAGACATAGATCAGTTGATTGCTGATGACGAAGATACTCGACTGACCTATCAAGGATATCGAAGGTTCTTGATGTCAGACCTGCGACACATCTACACACTCGGGGGCGCACGGACCAGCAATACATACAAGAGGGAGACGAAGTATCTAGCCAAGCAAATGCTGGTTCGCGGCTACGTAAGTACAACAAAGTAATAGACCTTGAGGCCTAGGTTTCTAACACTTGGCTTCGGGAATAGGCTTTTGCGGGAGCGATCAAGCAGAACTTCCCAGATCACCTACGACTTTCAATCCATCAGTCTACCGGAGAGCACAAAGTTTCCATGAGTTTGCTGAACACCAAAACCGGGTTCACGACACCTTGGCACTGCAGTGTCGCTCTGATGGCTGACGGAGAATGGATGAGTGCACCGATGGGAGACTTCAAGGAGAATCCTAGAATGAAAGTCGTGGAAGAAAAAGGCCGTCCAAGTTACTTTCGAGAAATGGCAGAGGAGGAATTCTTAGAAGAACAAAAGTCAGCAGAGGAGGCCGCCACAGCACAAGTGGAAAAGCCGGCCGTCAACCAAGATCAGGAGCAGGAGAGAAACGAAAACTTTTTCCACTGGGAGAATCTTTCTTATGATGTCAAGAGTGGCGACAAGACAAGAAGACTTCTCGATCAAGTCGATGGATGGCTGAGGGGTGGAACGTTGACAGCATTGATGGTATGTGTCCTGTCCCTTCTCTTTCCTTTGACTGATCAATCCTATCTCAGGGTGTCGGTGGAGCTGGTAAAACCATTCTGCTAGACGTCTTGGCCAATCGTCCGACTTCCGGGGTCGTCCATGGCGATATTCTGGTGAATGGTCAGGCTCGAAACATTGCCTCCAAGAACACGGCCGGTGTTGTGCACCAGCCTGATTTGCAGTTTCCTGCCGCGACTGTCAGGGAAGCATTGATCTTCAGTGCTATACTGAGGCAACCCAAAACGACCCCATACGTTGAGAAGATGGCCTATGTTGAGGAAGTCCTTCACCTCATTGGTATGGAAGCAGTTGCCGATACAGCCATGGGAACAGGTGAAGAAAGCATGTACTTGAACATTTTACATTACCCCGTGCTGATCATGTTGCAGTTTTGAATAGCGAACAACGAAAACGACTGGCGATTGGAATCGAGCTTGCTGCCAAACCTACCACCGTGCTTTTTCTTGATCAACCGCTTTCGGGTTAGTGACATCAGCATCAACGGTAGAACAAGATTTACTGACTTGGAATACTCCGTCCTAGGACTGGACAGTCAGGCTGCTCTATCTATATGTGCGCTCCTGCGGAAACTGGCACAGAAAGGGTTGGCTATCCTTTGTACCATCAATCAACCGTCTGCACGCCTTCTGCAGTCTTTTGATCGACTGATTCTGCTCGCCAAGGGAGGCAAGCAACTATATTTTGGTAAAATAGGCATCTCTTGCAAGACGGTGACCAGATACTTCGAACAAAACGGGGCCAGACAATGCAATGCAGACGAGAACCCTGCAGAATGGGTGTTTGAGGTCACCGGTTCCACTGCTAATTCTGACAGTCCACAAGATTGGCCAGAGACTTGGAACAATTCTCCCGAGCAAAAGGCTGTGAAAAGGAAACTTGCTCAGCTGAAGGAAAAGTTTGCGGCGCAGCTGGAATCGGTCAATGATCCCAGTTCCTCGGACACGATTCAGCAGTCAGTCGCTGGATTTGACGTGATGGACCTCCAGCGTGAGTCAGGATACAACTCTTTTTCAAGTTCGGCCCTTGAAATGTCTGACTCGAGTCTAGGCACTTACTATAAATATCTTTTCTTGGAAAAGATGCAGCTCCCTCTGGATTATCCAAAACCAGATATCTCCGGGGGTTGGCTCCCAAACTCTGCAGCTATACGTCGCGCACTATATTCGCTGTGAAGATCAAACGAAGCTCAGTCATCAATCCGCCCTAGGAGTGCTGTTGTCTTTGGTATACCCTTTTGGGTACGTCGCGGTTGTTATGGATGAGGACGAGCTAAAAGAGAATAGCTTTTGAGTCTCGTTCTTTATGCATCCCACGCTAGAAGGTACACGGATTCAACCATGATTGATAGATTTCGACATTCATCTGAACTGTTCTTTTCTACTCAGAGGCTTCTGCAGTTTCGAAACACTAATGCTCAAGCCTGCCGACTAGCATTGACGCTCTGCTTCCGAGGTTAATGATCCTCATGGCCGTGGCTGTATCCCAACTCCTGGACATGAATCTGAGACGAAATGAAGCAAAACATAGCAGCGTTATCATTGCGAGCTTACTGGGCACTGGGATTCGATTTCAGGCTTTCCAATATTCAGAGATTGGACCTGTCATCTGCAACAAAGAAACGGAGATAATTCCCTGTCGGGATTGCAGCAGGTCGCCATGTAGATGTAGCTGGGATAGACTCGTTTCACTTGGCATCCGTCTCCCGCAATATTAAACTCGCATCATTTGGAGACAGGCTCAGACCCCGTCACTCCAACGCAGACTACTGCATTTGGGGAATTTCGAGGTCCTCTCCAGTAATCACCGCTTACAGACACGTGAGAGCGTCCAATTGCGCGCTGATGAGGTGTAAACTTCACGTCGAGTGCATTGCGTGAGTGATTGGCGTCTTCTCGCTGATCCTCCGTTTCGGATTCTAGGTCACGTACAAACAAAATGTGCCTAGTGGTTGGAATTGTGCTCACTGCTGAGCAACTTACTCGTCCCTATCCCGGGCACGTACCGTGGCGCCGGCGCGCGGTGGAGCAGCACAGCTGACTCCAGCACGACTCGAAGAGCAATGGCTACTCAAAACGATTTACGCATTTCTGCAATTTTACACAATCATGCGACTGGCCGGACGGGCATCTACAATCCATGCACCCGAGGTTTCCACCCACGCAAAGTTCTCTTCGAGAGGAGCTCCTCTGGCCGGTCGAGGTGTCCCACACCTATTCGGTACACCGAGAGATTCCAGAAAAGCACTACAAACGAGTCAACGTCGGTCTATCTCTTGGATCTTCGTTTGCGGACGTCGTGGCATTTTCATCAGCATGAAGTATGTCCTCTCCTCGTCTCTTCTCATGTCTTCCATCACTGCTTAAACGGCCACGCAGTACTGCCCTTCCACCGACGAAATATGGCGTCGTTGTTTTTCCTGGATTCCAGGCGCTTGGTAGGTTGAGAGAGATTGATGTGTTGGGATCCCAAGGGGGATGTGATGCTGTCGATTGTCATCTGATCCTCGAGCCGCACCAGACGTCTTCGGGCCCCTTAGTACCTTGAACATCCTGTCTCGAGACCACAGCATGGAGCTTGCTATAATAGCCGAGTCATTGACGCCAGTATCAACCAATCCAGAACCAAATACCTTTGTGTCGTCTACATTCGGACAGGAGATTTTGCCCACCCACACCTTTACAAATGCACCCGAAGTTGAAGTGCTAATCATTCCCGGAGGTCAGTATACGAGATGAAAGAGCATCTACTTTGCGTCGTCGACCATGAAACTGACAAATTCTCCCAGGTTTTGGGACTCGCAATAAAGTATTAATGGCTCCTGTCGAATCATACATTCAATCCGTATTCTTCAATTTGAAGTACGTGATAACTATCTGCACGGGGTCTGCTATTCTCGCAGGCATGAGCCTCCTGGACAATCGGCGAGCGACAACTGACAAATGTACCTGGTCCTTGGTAACGCCGCTCGGGCCAAAGGTCGAATGGGTACGAAAGGCCCGATGGGTTGTTGACGACACCCCCGGAGTCACACCAGTGTGGAGTTCTTCGGGGGTCTCTGCGGGCATTGATGTCACGTTTGCATTCATCCAGATGTTGTATGGTGCAGGGACAGCAGAGTCAGTTGCAAATGTTATGGAATATGAGAGACATTTTGGATGACAAATGGGATCCATTTGCTGACGTCTGGGGGGTCATGGGAGATCTTGATTGAAGAAGATTGTACTACCCTAGCCACTCAGGCTATCCTTATTCCGATTTTCTCAATATTGGAATCAGTATAAATATTGCGACGGATTGTGGGCTTTTAACTACACTCCTTCAGTCATTATCGCGAGTGATGTATTACGAACCAAGTCTCCGCCTAGACTTTGTATGTAGAAGGTCGGGTTGGGTCGGATCGAGTTCTCTCTAACTATTGAACTGGGGCGAGGCTCTTAGCCAGAGGCATCAACTCGTACGGCGGTGGGCATGGTGTTGGGGGTAACGGCTATCGCACAGTAATAAAAGAACAGCATAGAGGGTCCTGATCAGATAGATTCCATAACTTGATTGATCACTGTCCTCAACTCATTGATTGAGTTCTCCGTTAATTGTTCAGATGGATGGATCCTGTTGAAGGATCAAGGAAAAAGAGATCTCAGAATTGTACACCGCGGTGGAAATTATTCGGCCAACCTACCCGATATGGTTAGGGCCACAGTTTGATGACATATCAAGCGGCAGACTTGTCAAGGCCATCCTCGTCTGGGACGACGTTAGATCTTGACTTGAATTTGGATTGTAACAACACCAAGAAACTCCAGAAAAGGGTGGAAGATCCAGGACAGAAAAGGAACATGAGTTTTTTTAATGGGAGAACTTGCATGTGTCATACGCCTGCCGGACTCCCGAGTCGTTGTAACCCCTCCGGTTCCCTCTAAAGTCCACATGAGTCTTTACTTGAGACACCAATCGTCTTGGGTACACAAAGCGGCTCGCGAATTTGCCGAACACTATAAACACCGGCGATTCGCCATCTCGGCAAATCGCACGCGGGGTGAGGCGGTATAGCAGCCTAGTATCTACAGGCCTGACGGCTCATTTGTGAAAGCCTGGAAAAGTCTACGGGTAGGATCTTTTGTCCGCCTGAGCGTCGTGCCCCGGCTCTGACTGCGGGGTATAACACGAATACGAGGCGAGGCGTATCGAAGTACTCGCAGTAGTAGTAGTGAGCGTCTTTCAAGCTAAAGCAGCTAGCCGAAGGTTACCGACGACAGATGCTGTGGGTGCTACGTCAGAAAGACTCTAACGCCGGGTATTGCCCGACCACAAGCATGGCCAAGCTTGGGACGAGGAAGCAACAAGTACCGAGTAGTTGGAGTATACTACATTCACTGCAGAGGCGTCCAATCCACGGGCGAGGGCAGCGAGGATGAGTTTGTTTTCTCAGTGTGGCTCGGCTCGACAACCACAACGACAAGACAACAACGAGATCGATCCTTCCTGGACCAATAAGCAAGTGGTTGCAACGACACGTCCAGTGGGGATGACATCAATCCCCTCCGATTGTGACATGGTCGATAAGCTTCTTCCCCGCGCCGCAGGTACGTAGAATCAAGAAAACCAGCGGGGCGTGGAGATGTTCAAGCCACTAGACCGCAAGAGGAAGGCAATCACCAGAAACGGTATAGTCTCATGTCGATCTGTGTCGAGGGCCCTTGTCCACAGGCAACAGGCTAACCATACCCAGGCAGCCAGGATATGCTGAATATGGGGGACGTTGCGATGGATAAGTACCTAGGTAGGTAGTATCTCAAAGGTATCAAAGGAGAACAAATAATGCCGTGCTTGCCGCAGTACCGAGGTCCGTCCTCCCCAGATCAAAACACCTCCTTCCGCCGGCTCCCCCAAGCTAACAATTCTTTTTTGACGTGAAGCGATATACCGCCTCCCGGCTATATTGGGCCCAGTCGGTAGGCAGTGTACCAATCTCCATGCTCCTCTTTCGGTGTGGTGAAAATCGTGATCGGTAGACCCTTTTCTTCCATCCCCCTCTCTGTCTCTTTCTGCAGCACCGACTAACGAGAAGTAGAGAATCGACGGTATGAGGTCATGTTGACTATTTAAAAAGGGTAGATAATCCCCGAGTTCTTGGAGTTTGTCCAGTCTTTCGTCATCCGGCCACAGTTTTATTTCTTCCCCTCCCCTCTCCAGCCGAGTACAGACTTGCCTCCAAAATGCGTCTCTGGGGACGAGGTCTAGCGACCACCTTGAGTGTTGCTGTCAGTGTCAGCATCACTGTCGCGCCGGGACACGCCGCCCCGACGGCTGGAGCGCCCGTCATGGCCTGTGAGGCCATTCCAAAGCCGGATGTTCCTGGGGCCACAGTGGTCTCCATCACTGGCGTGCGGAATACGAGCTACTCGGTGCCGGCCACTGCTAGATCCCCGGGCATCAGCGGCCTGGCCATCTGTGACGTCGTTGTCACGCTATCGCACCCAGGAGCGAACGACCTGGTGACAGTCGAGGTCTTCCTCCCCCTAGCGGGATGGAATGGGCGCTTTCAAGGCGTCGGCGGCGGTGGATACGACACCGACAACGGCCAGGCTTCACTGGCGCCCGCAGCCTCGTCGGGCTACGCCGCCGGCATCACCGATGGAGGGCACCCCATCACCGACGTCGAACCGGTCTGGGCATTGAACGCCGACGGTACGACCAACTGGCCATTGGTGGTGGACTTTGCCTCGCGGTCTCTGCACGACATGACCGTCGTTGGCAAAGCCGTGACCACCAGCTTCTACGGCACGCCGCCGCATCACTCTTACTGGAATGGATGTTCCACGGGTGGCCGTCAAGGAATGATAGAGGCCCAGAGATACCCCGGCGACTACAACGGTGTTTTGGCCGCCGCCCCCGCGATCAATTGGCCCACGCTGCTCGTGGCCGGCGGGTGGCCTCAGGTTGTCTACCACGATGCGGGTCTGTTCCCGTCCCTGTGCGAGCTAGACGCATTCACCAATGCTAGCATTGCAGAATGTGACGGACTTGACGGGCTAGTTGACGGCATCATTGGGAATCCGGCCACTTGTCCGTTTGAACCTGCCCAGCTGGTGGGATCCCAACTCGACTGTTCGAGCTACGGCGGCGGCGAGGAGGTGACTGTCACTTCTCAGGTCGCCGGTGTCGTCAGCAGGATCTGGGCCGGTCCAACGACCCCATCGGGGGCACGGCTCTGGTACGGTCTCAACAAGGGCGCCCCATTGTCGACGTTGGCCAACACCACGACGCTCCCCAACGGGACCTCGGTCGGGGTTCCCGACTTCTTCTCCTCTACTTGGGCCGCCTATTTCCTCAAGCGAGATCCCACGTTCGACTACTCGACGGTCGACTACAGTCAGTTCCTGGATTTCTACATCCAGTCCAACGACGAGTACGAATGGGCCATCGGGACGAGGAACCCGGACCTCGCGCCCTTCCGTGACCTGGGCGGCAAGATGATTACGTGGCACGGCCTGGCGGACCCGCTGATCATGACCAACAACACCATCGACTACCGGGAGCGGGTCAACGCGCTCTTTGGCAGTAGCAACGCCGCTGTCGACGAGTTCTGGCGCCTCTTTCTGGCCCCCGGCGTCAACCACTGTGGTGGCGGCCTGGGCGCTGTGCCCACGGACCCGCTGGCCGCGCTGGTCACCTGGGTCGAGCAAGGCGTGGCGCCTGAAACGCTGCCGGCTTCGTCGCCACGGGCAAACGGCACAACGGCCGAGCATCATCTGTGCCTGTATCCCTTGACATCCAAGTATACGGGCGGCGATCCGGCCGTTGCTACCAGCTACAGCTGCGTGCCTCTGTAACAAACAACAACAGGGAGGGGTCCCGTGAACCACGAGGCTGCGATATTGCCTTCCATTCCATCAGGGCTGTGGTTGTCTCGTGTCGGGAAGTGACCAAGGCGTAACACGGGGATTCCAAGACCCCTGTTTTTTATATATATATAGATCCGTCACAAAAATGTGACTGTTATTACCATTTTTCACTGAAAAGCAAATTTGCACGGGACCATTGAAAGAAACTCCCCATCGACCGAAGAGTGGTAGGAATCTGGGCCCAAATTCCTCGACTTTTTCAGATGGGTCTGAATAGCTGAAAGAGAAACAGTCCAGTTCACAACAAGGTTTGCATCACGCGTCTCCTTGCCTTCTCGGCCTTGGTGCGGAATGCGTCAACCCCTGCAGAGTCATGACTTGATGATTGCTAGGCGCAGAGATTGGAATTCAGCATTCCATCACTCAAGTTTCGGGGCTCCGCGCACTGACTGCATGACAATCCGGTAAACAAAGACGCGTCGGTTGTTGGCTCGAGCCCGTCCTAGCATATATAACGACAACTTGGTCCTGGTTTTGTCCACTTGGTTTTCTCTGCCTTTCGTAAACGTTTCTCACTCTCGCAGAGACGACAAGAGTACCATCTCCCTCGTTCTCTAAACAAATCCTTCCTCCAAAAGGGTTCAGGACCGCCGCTTCGGACACCATGAATAGAAAGCCGCCGATGAGACGAGAATTTGCGCCACCGAGCGCCGCGCGCGACATGAAAAAGGCCTTGCTGGAGTTTCAGTTTTCCGATTTCGAAAAGTATAGGGACGCATGGATCAACCAGGATAGCGTCGAGTACGCTGAAGTTAACCGAAGAATAAACCAAGCCTGCTTCCTGTGGGATGAAAACAATCCCGAGTTATGGCCAATGAGTTTGGTGCCGATTGAGGCCTTCAAGCACGACAAGAACAATGACTTGGTTCGCCTCTTTCCACACAAAGTATGGTGTTTGGCCGACCTGGCACCTAATAGCTTCCTCTATTGGAACGAAGGCAACAACACGGCTTCTGCCACTCAAGAGGCCTGGGCTGAGGCGCAAAGCCGCGGCCCACTTGAAGTGGGAGAAGGACCTTGCCATTTCTGGACTGCCAGCTTCACCAGCCCTTCTGCGGATAAGTCGACTCTGCGATCGACCTATCGCACCAGCAGCCACGCCGACAATCCAGAGTTTGACATCGACTGCGCTATGATCAGCCTCTTGGGCATTCGCTATTATCCCTGGTTTGACGTTCCGCGTGAGAAAACCTCGAAATCTTGGCTTTACTTCATCGACTATCATGGGCTGGATGATTTGAGCCAACACCCCAACCGTCAAGAAATGCCGAGGATCGTGAGTGCTCTCGGCCATCTCTGTATTACAGGCCATTATTGGGATTACGAGGCGCCAGCGTCAGATCCAGCGCCAGAGGAGAGCCTCACGCCATCCTGGTTCGCTGTTGTTGTCGACCTAGAACGACCAGAGAGACCGGTATGGCTTGTCCGAGAGCTTCGTGCTTTCAGGTTCTCGAAATTTTCGGGTTACAGGCCGGACAGGAAAAACGTAAAGGAATATGACATTCCAGAGAGCGAGCGAAAGTATCCACCAAGCACGCCACATCACTCGGCAGAAGCAGGCGCCAAAGACTTCTTCCATCGCCTAGCTGAGAACGACACCGATCTTATCAAGATGTTCTCTTCGGTTAGTGAATGGGACCATGCTGAGTTGGATGCAGCTACTTTGAAGCAATATCTCTGGGACGAGAAGAACCGATTCCAAAAGGCCATACCTCGGTTCAGACACGTTCTTCCGCACAGAGGCAGCAATTTCAACGCCAAGGACAAACCTATGATAGATGAATTGCCCCGGTCAACATAGCCCGAATTTTCCCAGCGGAAAAGGGTCTGATCAAATCAATCACGTCCTCGAGGGCCGTGATGGGGTCGGTCGAAGGGAGTTCGGGTATGTCAAGTAGGGGTTGGGCTTGACCTGGGTCGGTGCACGAGAGGTGTCCAGCTTACCGCTCCTCCGACTTGAAAGCTTTTACAATCAGCAATTAGACGTGTCAGGATTCAACCGAATCAGAGACCAATGCAAGAGAAAGCGTCATTTCCCACTCGCAGGTGCGCCGGCTGTTCATGAATGTAGACGTCTTGCCCCGTAGCATGGACAGCCTAGTCCATTTCCAGTGTTCGCTGGACTCGCTTCTTCTCTTGCTTTTGATCCCGCGTTCAGCACTCCTCCTCCGCCTCTTATCTTTTGTAGTACTAGGCACGAAGTGCTTTTTGAAAGCGTTGGTATGGTAGCATTCGAAAGATTCGCGAAAAGCAGTCGTGTGTGGCCTGAAGTGCTCGTGGAGACGTTCTCACTTTTGCCCTGCAAAGGGAAGTAGAACGCCTGCCTATCGACAGCTTGCGCTCAAGGTGCCATGTATCAGAGGTAGCCCGTTACTTTTGAGGCAACAAGACTCGTGGACGGGCCAAGTGTGACAACATCATGACCAGCGGTGGCGGCGGCAGCTTCGTTAAAAGCGGCGCAAGTATATTGACTGACGACTGGGATACGGACATTGTTGCCGCTTTTACCTCCTGGGGCTACCTCCAGGGCCTTTGGTCACACCTCAAAATTGTCTTGGCATCCCTTTCGCTTCAGCCTCGCGAGCATCTTGGCATCTTTGTGTTGCTTGTTTGCTCCCACAGCCTCCATCTCATTTTCGTGAACAAAGCAATCTTTGTCTTTGTTAAACAACACAACAAACCTGCTGGATAGCTCCCGCACAGCCACACTCGCGTCCCGGCATGCTGATGTGGCAGTTTTACACTTTTCGGCATGGAGCAAACATCTACTCATCGGCAACGTCCCGTATCACCAGGAGTTTGTCCATGGTGTTGGCTTTGGCCGGAAACTCCTATGCACCTCATCGTAACCAGTCTGTTTTGGACTAGATCCCGGCCCTCTGTCTCTGTTTGCTGTCTGCAGTGCAGCGATCAATCTTTGTCTCGGTCAATGATCAAGCCTTTGCGGTACCTCTTCCAGCACGTACGTGCAACAGCGCGCCTCCTTGAGATTGCTATCATCTTTGTTCCGAGCAGTATGGTTTGCTCCAAATTGACGGGCAGAATGGGTATCCTATTTTATGTTGGCCCTGGAAGGACATATGTTGCTTCGCGATCGTTTACACTTCAAAGCACCAGTGATCGTGGCCTTCAAGATTCAGGCAAATGCTCAGTCGCAACCTCAATTCATCCAGATCAGCCTGCCTTCGATAACGTACCGCGGTTCTTTGGCAACTACTTCTCCCCTCATAGAGAAAAGAAATGGCACCGACGATCGAGCCGTTTAACCCTCCGTGCACAAGGAACCATATCGACAACCGCAAGCCTTCGCAAGAACTCGATGGCGGATTTTTCAGAGCCTACCAAGCCATCATCGAAGATGCATTTCTGCTGGAGCAAGGGGAAAGCAACAGGCCGCAAGAGTTTGTTCAGCTCGTCGTCGTCGTCACCGAGATCTTACAATGGGCATCCTCGAAACCGGGTAACGAAACCGCCGTGCAGAAGCTTCGAGACATAATTCAATCGAAGCCTTTGACAGAGGAAGAGAAGCAGTGCGTCCCAGGAATACCGGCCGATGACTGCCTCTGCCTTTTGGTGCGTCTCCTCGCAAGAAAGAAGCAACCTGCAACACTAGGTAATTACACAAGCTTTGAGGTGGTGAGACCGATACTGAAGCCTGCTTAGAGGAGTACTTGAACGAGCTACAGAAATTGAAAATTCACGAAACAATGAAGAAGGAAAAGCCAACCAATAACTCCAAAGACGACTCCGAAGACGACTCCAAAGACGACTCCGAAGACAACTCCGAAGACGACTCCAAAGACAACTCCAAAGAAGATTCCAAAGACGACTCCGAAGACGACTCCGAAGACAACATCTCTCAACAAAACCACCCTGCAGTTTATGGCATTCCGAATCATATCTCGATATGTATAGGTCCGCGTAGGCAGACATCATCGAACATGACTGTCAGTTGGCATATTATCGCCACCAATGGGGAACATGACGAAACAGACCTTGGGAAATGGGCGAAGAAGTCGAGGAAAATGCGCTTTCAGAATCTACGAAGCAATGTTCCAAGTTGCGTGAAGGAGGCTGGAAAATGGCTCGCCACAATTCTGAAGGACGACGACAAGGATGTCAAGACCGCCGAAGAAATACGTCTTGGTCGGTTATACGAGATCGAAAGTTGGAAACTCATGTCCACGGCTGCAAAACCTGGTGAAATCAGGGTCAATGGGCCTCGACATTTCTGTCATATGACCGAAGTCGCAACGACATTCAGGATTGGGGGGGGAACAGGGATCACGCGCGACCCGCGCTGCATGCTTTGCAGAATGCTCTTCAGCTCCCGCCAAGATCTCGTTGGGCTCAAAATGGAGAATGACTTTTCCAAGGGCCTTCAATCCCTTGAGAAGAAAGCCATCAATGGAAACAATACTTGCTCCGAGGGATTGCTCCATGAGCTCTGCGAAATGGCCGAACGGATGGCGGCAAAAACACAACCAGGTACCACGGGTACCACGGATCAAGACCCAGACTCTGGAGAGGCTTTGTGAACGAGACTGGACTGTGGAATGAAACGTGGATGCAATGGTTCTCACAAACGACGCTGGATGTGGAAGGCTCGCAGCCTACAAGGCTGTCCCCACACAACGCCGTACACCGACACCACGGGCAAGGAAATACGGGGAGACGGATCGCATACAGATCTCCAATCGTCAGTGCTCTCACTGTGTGGCATCGGTCCTGGTGGCAGGCTTGAGAATTTGGTCAGGAAGCACGCTCTGTACGAAAGGGGAAAGAGAACATGTGCGCACCTGGAAACAAGTTGGCTAGCACGCTCGAACTGCCTTGTGTTGGATGAGTCGCCGGTCTCTACACTGCAGGGTTTGGGTGGGCAAAGATCATGTATTGGGAGGCAAAAATCATGTATTGGGAGGTAAAGATCATGTATTTCGAATGACGAGCAAGAATCTGTGTTTCAAATGATTGGCAAGGATCATGTATATGATGAGCATGACAAGTATTTTCTACAGAACTACCTCCCCTTCGAAGATTAACTCCCCCCCCCCCCCCCCCCCGGCGGGGGGTGAACACGATCCGGGCGACCCGTTGCCTCGATACGTGAGGTCCGCAAGTCATACTTGACGGCATATGTTGGATGGGCATTCGGGCAGAATTCCACCGGCCTGTCATTCTGTTCATTGTGTCAACAGTCAACAGACACAACAGCGAGGCCTCCTGTTTCTCGCCACAGCAGAAGTACGGGAAACAAAAGTGGTTCAAGATTGGAGACGACTTCTGTAAAAGGAAAGGGGGAGGGGGGAGGAAAGAACATTTACATTCGGAGTCGACTTCGCCCCCGTACGGGAAACAGGTCCCATCAGGTTTTCCATGGTCCATGCCTCCTGGCCAGTACACAGTACTCGGTATGAACCCTTCAACACACGTCGATCACGCTTGCGTCCTTCGCCTGTCCACGAGGTTGAGACAGTATGAACCACAGACAGTAGCATGCATCCATAGAGTTGTGGCAGCATTCTGCAGCACCAAGCACGCGACCAGAAGATAAAGTGCTTGCGTGTCAAGTGTGCCCTCCAGTTGCGCTCAGTGGCCTACAGAATGCTGTCGAGCAGGGTGAGTCTGCCGAAAGTATTGATGTTCCATTCAGACCAGTGGGCTACCTCAAGTTCGCAACCGTCTCCTGCTGAGTCGAATCGTCGTTCCTGAAGTTGAGAAAAACGTGACCGCCAACGTGTCGAGGAGAACGGTATGTCAGCATTCTTATACGTTGTATTCGAGTAGAAAGCTGCCCCTCGAAGGACTTCGGGGAGTCTTTCGGACTCTTTCCATGTAGCGGGAGAACGCACACAACAACTAATAGACTTGTGACTGCAATCGCCATATACCATCGGGTTGAGCACGCTCCGCTCGCAAGTATTGGTGCCCAGGAACATATCACGTCGCCTCGTCACCATCCCGGAAGTGTGAAAAATCAAAGAACCGTAGATCGGAGGTATTGCGAATTGAACTGTCACTCCATCTGCTCCTAGAAGGTGTGTTTGGCTGCGGATCAAGCTGTACCCAACAGAAAATCAGTCACTACGCGTCACCAAACTCACCGACCAGATGCTGAACAGGGTTGCCAGGCTGGCGCAAAAGGTGACATGGGAGGCACAGAAATCAAGCCCGAATTGCCACCAGGAACAGGCGAGGATAGGGAAAGCAGACTTTTCCATCAACAAGGGGCGGATATGCTTCCTCGATTCGTTTCAAATATGCGTCGAGGAATGCTTCTTTCTCCGAAGCCGACAGAGGATCGACGTATGGTCTCAGACCTGTTCCTTTCACCCACTCCACGATGGCCTTGTGGTCCTGCAGGATGTGATAGTAATGGGTATGCCAGATGTTGATATCTGAACACAGAGGCTTCAGATGACTGTAGAGCTCTTGAGGAGACTGAAATGGATTGCGAGCTGGATGTAGTCGTCTGAGGGTTTCAGACCACGGACCCTCATCGGCAAGTTCGCGCATGGCAACATGGGAGGGCTCTGAAAAGTTGTCAGGTACTTGAAAAGCGAACACGCCGCCCGGCTTCAGCGTTTTGATCAAGTCGACGAATATCGGAATGCGTCTTTCCTTGGGCAGCCATTGATACACGGCGTTGGAGTAAAGCAGATCGGCGGGTTCCGCATGGTCAAACGAGCTCAAGTCGCCTAGGGTAAAGTCGAGTTCAGGCAGCCTCTTTCGCGCCTTTTCGATCATGTCAGGAGACGAATCGAGACCCACGACGTGAGCATGTGGGAACTGCTTCCAGAGCACCTCTGTCGAATTACCAGGCCCGCAACCCAGGTCGACCACCCGTTTCGGGGCCGTCAAGGGCACCTGGGCAAGGAGGTCCCTTGCTGGACGGGTCCGTTCGGCTTCAAACTTCAGATACTGGGCTGCGCTCCAGTCTTTACTCCCCATGGCAACCTCTGACGAACGGAAACAGCGGCGATTTGCAGGATGAGTTAGCCCAAGGCTCTCGTTGAGGAAGGGCTGTTGGGGAGGATGTCCGCTTCGGACGCGTCTGTGCACTGTGGTTGTTGCCTGCGACCAGAGGGACCTGCGGACGGTGCTCATACTCGGTATTCGGTGTCGCTCTCAGTGTCGCTCCCAAGTACTCACGGCATCAGGCTTCGTCGTTGTCAATAAAGGAGTAAACGGTCGTTGGGGGCGGGGGGGCGGTGAGGTTTAAAGGTGACAGTGTCAAGTGCCGATGTCGGGCCCCTGTGCGGACACGCCAAATAGAGGGTGACCCTGAGGCTGGGGAGACGTGCTGCAGGACGCGCAGCGGCACAGGGGCGCCAGGGCGCGGGGCGCTTACGAGTGCGTGCTTCGCTTGTCAGTCTCACGCTGATGACACTTCCCATGTCTCTCACCAATGCTACCCACATATCGTCACTCTTTGACGGGCGAACTCCGCATCATCCGGCCCAGGTGTGGGCGCCAATCCATGGCCTTGCCATACCCTCGGCTCAATGCTGAAGGTTGAAGCCATCCAAGCGACCATATAACCGAGAATGTCTCCCCGGTATTTTGTCGCCTTTCTCCGCATCGAGGCCACTCCATGTTCGACAACTCACAGCTTCCCCAGAGTCACTATTTCCCGATGTCTACTGCAGCTGCATCCGATGGCTGGCCTGTCAAGAAGCGACGCGCTCCCATCGCGTGCACGGCGTGTCATGCCAGAAAAGTCCGCTGCAATGTGGTCCTCGTCGGCCAACCCTGTTCCAACTGCCAGCAAGATCAGACTCAGTGTGCTCTGCACGTCTCGGCGAGAGGTAAACATAAACGGCGAAGGCTGAACAAGAATTCACACCTCCATACTGTTACGCCTCCTTCGTTATCTTCGTCTGGACCAACTGCGGATGCTCAAACCCAACCCCCGGCCACCACTGATTTTGCAGACTCGAACCCCTCAATCACTCCGCCATCACAACCGCCATCGCGTGATGAGTATGAATCCCAGGCCAATGTGGAAGCGTATCGGAATATTGTCGATGCAGTCGAGACGAACGGGGCCAAGGTGCCGTTGTATGTCGGTAGGTTTGCACAGTGGTATGTTTCCAGGTGGGTGAAAGCAGCTAAGCAAAACGTGTCAGGTGAGCTTCAATCGCTTCGCTTTATATTCCATGTCGCCAGGGACAAGAGCATCGCCTCCAAAGCCCATTACCTAGTTCCCCAACCGAAGAGGCGTCAATTGTCGCCCGAAGAATACGCGTGCCTACAGGCCAAGGGGGCTTTCTCAACAGAGTCGGATGATTTGAGAAACGAACTCCTTGGGCTGTTCTTCGATTATGTCTACCCGATTCTGCCAATCATCGACCCTTACGACTTTCGTCGTCGGTACGAGGCTGGCGGCATCCAGAGCATCAGTCCGCTCTTGCTTCAGAGCATGTTCCTTGCTGCAAGCAACGTAAGCATTGAGCCCACCCAGTGCACATTCGCCCTCCAGGTCCTGATATCAAGTCTTCTAGTTCATCTCGGCAGATGGGCTAAAAAGGTCGGGCTGGCCATCGCTGATGCACATGAAAAGGAGATTCTATGAAAGAGCCAAGGTGACTTGACAATCAATTCGGACACTGGAAGCAGTGGAGCTGATCTCATTTCCCCAGGCACTCTACGACTTCGACTACGAAACAGACAAGATATGTCTGATCCAGTCGGTCTTATTGCTTGGCTATTGGTTGGGGCAGGCCCACGACCGCACCGATAGCTGGCACTGGGTGGGAGTCGCAATCAGTCTGAGCCAGAGCGTCGGTCTCCACCGTGACCCAGGCTTCTCAGATGTGCCCCCGTCTCAACGCAGCCTGTGGCGAAGGATCTGGTGGTGTTGCTTCTACCGGGATAGATGCATTGCGCTAGGCATGGGACGGGCGTTCCGCATCAATGCCGAGGACTGCGACGTGAAGGAGCTTACCCTCGAAGACTTGGTGCACACCGCGAAAGACTCGTCGACGTCGTCATCCAGCGCACACTTGAACCTGAACGAGGAAAGCGCCGCCATTGTGGCCAAATGCAACAACTACGCGCCCATATTTCTGGAGATTGTCAAATTGAGCCAGATCTTGGGCGAGGTGCTTGCGTCCGTCTACAAGCCCCGGAAAGAGCCGATGTCTTGGACCTTGATCGAGTATCTTGAGGACAAACTCGCTCGTTGGCAAGCAGCCCTTGATCCAAGGTGTCGAGTTGACACGCCGCTTACCACTATGAATGAACCCATCGCCATGACGTTGCATAAATACTACATTCAGATCCTCCATCAGTGAGTTTGTGTCTCCGCTCTTTCTTTCCTTGGAGGTTTCCCTTCGTCCTTGATCTGGCATCACGGAAGGCTTATTGATTTTTCCCGTTCTTACCGTATTTAGCGTCACGGTGGTCACCATGTACAAGCCCTTCGTCTTTCAGGATGATTTACTCCCGACCCGGCCTGGAAGCGACATTTGCGCACGCATCGCGTGGGAAGGGTGTCAGTTGTCGGCGTTTGCGGCAACAGACGGCTTCCGAAAACTCAGCGAGCTGGAGCTCGTCCGGTTTTTACCACCTGAAAGGTAGGCCGCACCACGCATTCCCTCCCCATGTGTTCGTCGATCTGAGTGTCAGTCGGTTGGCAAGGTTGACTGTCTCATGTTATGTTTGGTATCCAGGGAAAAAGGAACCAAGGCTGACTTTGCCACCACTCTCACAGTGTGACAATGCTCATCTCAATCATTGCGATTCTCTTCGTGGCGAAATGCCTATCAACGGGTATGAAATGGCACCTAGCGAGCCAGAACCTGGACCTCGCCATGCTGGTGGTCCAGCAGTTACAGGAAAAGTATCTGGCCGCCAGATTCATCTTTGCATACTACACGGCGGCATTTGAAAAGGTGGCACCCTCCCAGAGACCGCTGTTGGATTCGGCGTCGGCATCGACCACGGCATCGTCTACTCTGCCGGCAGGTTCCTACTCGAATGCTTTCCCGAACTTGGCCGTTGCTAACGCTACCACCACTGCCGACATTGAACATGTTCCAAGGATATACGATGCAGGCATTGATGGTCGCGGTGGCCCTGGCACTACCAGCCCGTTTGACGCCGTCGAATCCTTCTCCTCGGGACAGGAAGACCATCTGAGCACCTGGGCCGAATGTTTTCCGGCTAGCATGGCCGCTGATTTTGACATTTTGTTCGGAGCAGAGGGGATCATGAGAGGGTTCGAGGAACTTGTTTGAGAGAATAAACGAGCGACGGAGAGAGTAGGAGAGAGAGAATAAGTGATGTTGTGTTTCTTGATGGCCAGTGGCCATATGGTGGCGTAGTACGTGGCTCTGTTGGTCTTGACAGGACGATACCATTTATGCAAAACACACATACCCACACAACTTGTCTATTTCCCACTCAAGCGCGATGCTGATTGCGATCCGTGATGCATGACGACAGCGGCCCCAATATCGGCAGACACGGCACGCGAAACTCGCAATTTTATGACGGGTCGCTTACGTAGATCGCTTATATATACCGAGTATAACTATCGCGCGTATGATGTCTCGACCGACGCAACCGCGATCACTGTACCGAGTACAAACACGTGTACACATACAGAAGGGTATCCTAGGTATCTGTCTCCCTAGGTAGGATCGTCATCTGGTCCATAAGCTCGGTCCATGTCCAATAACCTAATCGATTTACCTGGGATTCCATCTCGAAAGTTTTCCCACACGTCCCGAATTTTCAAGTCTGCGTAATGCTATAAGGGTAATGGAAGTGGTAACGCTACCAGTAGTAATCTACAGTACAGTAGTAATCGAGCACCACATACTACCGAGTACACCACACCACACGACACGACACGCCACGCCACGCCACGCCACGTCTATACTTGTAGACTCGAGAAAGAAAGGAAGAAAAAAAAACCTCTCTCTCTTTTGAGTTCCTGTCCTGGGGCCTCGGGTACTCATGTACAAGTCCATAGGACTACAACAACAATAAGCAGCATAAGCCACTACACACCCTCAATCAATCAATCATGGCCCCGTCTGGACCGTCCAATTAACGGGGTCGTGTATAAAATCCGAAAACCCCGGCCTATTTCTTCCCCCCTCTTCTCCCCTTACCCCCAGTTGTTGCCCCTCAATCCCCCCAGTAAGTTTTTTTCTGGGCCGCGGTTATATGTAGGTGGATAGCTAGTGGAATACTCGTCACTGCTTGCTTGCTTGCTGACAAGCGACAAGACCTTCTGGGGGAGGGGGAGGGGAGGAAACATGCCATAGGTGCTCGGTCGATCGGTCGGTCGGTCGGTCTGTCTGTCTGTAAACAAGAACCGTGAGCCGAGAAAGCCTCGAATGACATGGACATGCTATTGTTCGTGGTTTGCTTGGGGTGGTGGTTTGGTTTGGTGTGTTCTCTCTCATACCACCGCGTTCACCGTCACCATAACCACCACAACGTTGCAGCCGCGGCTTCGCAGTCAAGGAATCGCGTAGATATATCTATGTCTCCATCTACATCTACACGTCTATATAACAGCCGACTCTCGCTCCTGCGCTAGGCGTTTCAAAAAGTATTTTTCTCATTTGTTCCGAGTACAATATAAAGAGCCTGTGCGCCGTTATACTCCGGCTACATACATCCATCAGGTCCACCTTGCCCTTCGGATTAGGTCTCTGCACACACAGACAGAGGATACTCGGTATAAAGGTGCCCCCGTTTTCGTGGTTGGTCGACATATTTGTCTTCTTTCACGGGTGCCAAAGCGAAGAAAAAATAGCAAACTTCTTTACAGGCATATTCATATTCTTAAGGTCTTTTCATTGTCTTGTGTTTGGGAACCGTGCTGCACCCACGAAACTCCCCCCCTTGACTGGCGAATACACAAGATGGCACCAACAAAACTACGCATCGGGGTCTGTGGAGGCGGTATGGGAGGACTGACCGCAGCCATCGCGTGTGCCCGAGCAGGGGCAAAGGTCACACTCCTCGAGGCGGCCAAGGAGTTGGGTGAAATCGGAGCCGGCATCCAGATGTTCTCCAATGTGTCCCGGATTCTGATCCGGTGGGACGTGGACAAGATCATTGGCGACGACCTGGTCGCCGTGGATGAGATCAATACTTGGGGTTTGGACGACGAGCTGCTGGGTCGCTTCGATCCGAAAGAAGGACGCAAGCTCACCGGCTTTCCGCATTGGTCCGTGTGTCCACCCCCTGCTCTTAACCGTGCTGCAGATGGCCGTCTATATCGTGGGTGCCATGTACTGACAGTCTCAAATGCAGGGTGGTGCGTAGAGATCACCTTCACGCAGGACTTACCGAGTGTGCTCGACGCAGCGGGGTCGATCTGATCGTCGGCTCCCGCGTCCAATCCCTCCAACACTCCAAGGAGGGCGTCAAAGTCACGACAATTCACGGGGTTGAGCATACCTTTGATCTGCTCATCGGATCCGATGGCCTCAGATCGACCATACGCCAGTCCTTGTTTCCAGAAACCGTGCCAAAAGCTGCCTCGACCGTTGCGGCATTCCGTGGCGTGCTCTCTTATGAGGAAGTGTTCGCCCAGGTGCCCGAAGCGAGAATGTGGCTGAGGAACACGGCTGACGCCTGGATCGGGCCTCAGGGTTATATCCTCCTATATCCTCTTTCGGCGGGCCGGGAACTGAACGTGGTGGCCATGTTTCAGATGGACCGCGTCGTCACCAAGGCCGAGGAGATGGATATTCAGGAATTCCGCAACCTGTACAAGGACTGGAGTCCATTTGCACGCAAGATTCTCGGGCTCCTCAAGAGCACTCAGATCTGGCCCTTGTTGGTGCTGCCCCCGATGAAGTCGTGGTCCAATGAGCACAAGAACGTGGTCCTCCTCGGGGATGCGGCTCACGGCATGCAGAATCACATGGTAGGTGCTTGCCAATCGGTTGTCTCCAGAGATGCTAATGAGCATTTCTAGGCTCAGGGAGCGGCTACCGCTATGGAAGACGGGGTGTTTCTAGGCACAGTCGTCTCGGAAGTCATTCGCGGCAACATTGGCCTCCCCACAGCTATCGAGCTGTATGAGAAAAAGCGCATGCCACGAGTATGGACCAAGCAGCAGGTTTCTTTTGTAAACGGTACCTTCAACATGGCCGCGGGAGAAGACGCAAGGAAGCGGAACAAGGCGTCTCGACCGGAAGTTGTATGTTCGGATAAAAACATCATTCAGCCCAACAAACTGCTGCCACCGACATATCGAACCTGGCAACTGGCATTCAGTCCGGTGAGTGTCCCTGGTATCATGTATTTCGACGCGGAAGGGGATGCAGAGAACGCGGTCTGCGAATATCTGCAGGAGACAACGGCGATGGACGAGCAGACACTGGTGACCAAGGGCCTCTGGGACAAATGGTGGGGACTAGTGGATAACAATGGGCTCGAGGATGATGCTGGGAAGGTCTAGGGCGATCCGTCTTGATGAGCTGTGTAGGTGTTTTCCGTATGTAGGAGGCACCGAGTCCATACGAGGATTCGAATGAAAAGTACAAGTACAGGAAGGCTACGACTCGACAGGGGAAAGAATTGTTGTTCTTGGCCCGGGGAAGCCCGTGATGGTTATCGTGGTCCGTACCCATGCGGATTGCCCAGCCAGTAGTTTGGTTATAGTTAAGCCCCCAGTGGCCCCCCCTTTTGTCCCCATCCCACTTAGAGCCCGTTGTTAGGCAGCTCAACAAGTTCAACACCCCCCGATGTCCGTTCATTTGTGGCCTGCATCAGCGAAGGCCCCCCAATAAATCCTCCCCGTTTACCCCTAGGTCAAGATGGCACTATGACTTAGGCAGCCACGGACCTCATTCCGGACTCCCCACGCCACCAAGGCACTGGCTTGACTGGCTCAAAATCTCATCACCATCATAAATCTCATCTATCTTTGCTATCAGCCACCAATCAATCTCCGTCTCCTCAACTCGTTATCCACCACAATGGAAACCGAAGATCTCAGGGAGAAAATTCCCCCATCTTCTCTGGAAAAATTCCCATGGTTACTCAGTCCTTGGGTTTCTTGACCTGGCCACCCTGCTCCCCAATCTTCCCTCCTCGCCATGGTGATAGAATGTCGGCCTGCATCGTCTCTGCTGCGACGTCTCACCATCTCTTCAAATCTCGTTTCCAATCAGCAACCGCGACTCCTTCAGGCGCGGAGCCAGCTCCAGCCACGAACACGCCCAAGACCAAAAAAGAACTTCCGAGATTTCCACCTGCAGCGTAGATCCGTCACCGGTTTCTCGTCCACTACTGCGTTCCCACCATCTCCGGCCCCGTCCTCTTCACAACTGCCAACACCACCACCAACACCGTCTTCATTTTTAATCCCCCTTCTACCCTCCGTATCTTGCCGGCCACCTTCTTCTTTTACTTCTGTCCGATCCTACTGCTCTCACCACTTCCACAGACACCCAGCCGACCTGAAAGAAGACGAAGAAGACGAGGACAGGGAAGATCCAAGCACAATGCCTCTAGGTGGGTAGTCTTCAGCTTTTGGTTCCACTCGGTCCATGGTGATGAGCATATCAACGGTTTTGCCCACCTCAAAAAAAAAAAAAAAAACACATCACTGTGCTGTTTGAACCCGCGATACACTCATAACACCAGCTCATCATCTACGTGTTTCTGAGAAGGAGCTGCAACTTGCAGTGTGGATGGCACTGCATTCAATCTGCTCCCGTCCCTCAACACTTTTTCCTCCTTGGAATCCCGACGTCACGTGTCCTGTGCTGTCCATACGTCACCCCTGTTCACATTTTGAACGCCGAGGAACCGTTACTGACGACAATGCGCCGTAACAGCAGACACGCATAGTGATGCCTACACCAAGGCCTTCAACAACAACAGCTTATGGCGCCGCTCTCTGGCCGAAACTGATCCTGAGCTTTTCGAGTCCATGGCCAAGGGCCAATCACCTCAGATTCTCTGGATCGGATGTGCCGACTCGCGCTGCCCAGAGACCACTATCCTGGGCCTGAAGCCCGGGGAAATATTTTGCCACCGCAATATCGCCAACATCCTGGTCAACACAGACATCAACTCCCTCTCGGTCATTCAATATGCCGTCCAATACCTGAAGGTTAAGCACATCATCATCTGCGGCCACACCTCTTGTGGAGGTATTGCGGCGGCCCTAGGCAACAAGAAACTTGGCCTGATTGACACCTGGCTGATGCCACTCCGAGCAATTCGCCAAGAGAACCTGTCTCTCTTGAACAGCTTGGACGAGACACAGCGGGGCTTGAAGATGGTCGAGTTGAACGTTCGGGCCGGGGTCAAAGTGCTCCTAGCGAACCCGATTGTCCTGGACGCGATGGATGAACGTGGCCTCCAAGTCCATGCTCTAATCTACAATGTCGGAACCGGCGAGTTGCGTGAGCTGGACATTGAGGAGGACGAGGAAGTCATCAAGAGCCGGGTCACCGCCTTCAAGACCGAGGACTAAGGAAGGGGTGATTCCCTCGACCAGTGGGAATTTTAGAGGATTGGGAACGGACTTTTCATGGAACTGTATTTTCGGCCAAACATGTTGTAGCCAACAGCACAAGGCTGCTTTGGGACATTGCCTCCAGCGACATGGCGATGTGTAGAGGTGCATACACCTGGGAACTTAATCTTCATCACTGACCGGCATCTGGCGTCTGCCCAGGCCACATGGTCTAGAGCTTGCTGCTCCTGTCGATGGTCTATCTGTCTTACTCATGCGTGACGATTGCTTGTGAGAACTCCCCGAGATCCTTTCCCAGCTATTGGAAGGGGACCTATGCACGAGAGCTGCATAATGAGCGTAACTGATGCTTGTTGTGCACGTTTCCTCCTCGTTTGTGCAGAGAATTTGGCTTTATCCTCTTCGGGCAGATATCCAAGTCTGAGCCTGCATTACATGAACAACCTCCCGTCCTGCGCAGAGACTTCAATGCTGATTTCCACTTTGCTCTCAGACTGGGCCCGGTTAACACAAGACAGAGGCGTTCGCGCTCCAGCCTCCAAAATGCCGACCGATATCTAGCTATACATTCCGAACCTTTTCCTAGAGAGAACTAGACCGACTATTTGCCGCGGCCTCGTTGTTAGCTGCTGTTCTCGTCGATCTGGCTCTGCCTCAGTAACCTCTTCTGCTGTTTCTTCTCTTTTCGCTTTTGCTTCTGTTCGCCGCGGTCGAGCCGTTCACGGTACTCTTGCTGTCTCCTCATCTCCCGGAGATGCTTCAAGGTCTGTCCGAGTGGCATGGACGTTGTATCGACCGGGGGAGGAGGTGGTGGTGTTTCGCGGGCCTCTGTCATGGTCGCGCACCACTGGTCCTTGTCTGCGGCGGGGATGGCGACTTCATGGCGGTCGACGATCTTGACGACCGTGAAGTCACGGAGTTCGGACAGCGTGGCGAGCAACGAGTCTCGCCACTCGGCGACCTCTGCTCTCCGCTTGTCGCTCAAGTCTCTGTACGTCGGGACGGGTCTCCACGGCGAAAAGTCGAGGACCAGCGCGTCCATCCGGTGGCGATACCTCATCCACGTGAAGAAGCGTTGCCACTGTTCTTCAAAGCACAGGTCCACGCTGCAGATGTCGTCGCAGGGCACGCTCCACCCGGAGTTCACGCGGACACTGACCGTGCGCAGGTTGGCAAAGTTTTGGCGGCCGACGTGCTTGGTCCACCACCGGCAGTTTTGGGCGTTGTCGAAGCGGAACGTGTATCGCCCGTAGACCAGGCGGCTGCCGACGTCGCGGAATTCCCTGCTGACCCGCATGGCGCGCAGGTCGACGTTGTCCTGCTCGACCATGTCCGCGGACCCCGTCCTGATGTACCCGGCCAATTTCCCTTGCCGGTAGAAAGGCCGGACGACGTCGCCGGGCGTTGGTTTCAGCGCGAATACGTGTCCCAAGAAGAGTTCTAGTGTTTCTCGCCTCGCTCGGATCTCTCTCCAGAACCGAAAAGCGGCCGGTTCGGGTGATTCGGTGGATTGGTGTGAAGCAGCTGTGGGTTGCCACACTCCCGCGGTCAAATCGGCGTCGGTCATGGAAGTGGAACGCGTAGAACTCGGAGGATTCTTTGCCTCTAGTCCAGGTATTAGAGAAAGAGAGAGAGAGTCTTGTTTGAATTCGTGGTGATATTTCTCCCCGTGTGAGAGAGAGAGAGATATAGGAAAATGTGGGAGCACTTACCAAGCGCCACCAGCATCGACATCCGCATTGCTTGCAGGGCCAACGCCCGGGCTTGATCGCTTTGTTTGGGACCATGACCATCCTCTCCAGTCGATGCAGGGACACAGGCAGACCTGTTTTGAAGGGCGGAACCGTTCAAGCGGTACATTCTGGGGAGTCTTCGAGTGTGGTGGTGGTGATCCGTGTGCTCTCCTGACAGACAAAGATTCACTGGAAGTAAGTGTGAGCAGCGTTATGTTGTCGTTTCGTGTAGTGTTGTCAATAATAGCTCAGCTAGCTCCGTAAACTGAAGCAGAAGTGATCTTGGGTAATGAATGCGCTGGAGGAGAAAGAGAAGAGCGCAGCAGAGCGCAGCAGAGCGCGGCGCTTTGCCAGAACAAAATAAATATATAGATGTAATGTAATGTAAATATCTATTGTCGCGGTGAATAAACTTGCCTTGGGGCGCGGTAGAAAAAGAATTGTGTGAATGCTAGAGTGACTTTGTCATTCCATTGTTCTCTGTCACGGGCGACGGCAGCGGTGAACAGCTAGCCCCTGTCCAATGTTTGCTCTCAGACTCTGAAAGTCCTGAACGCTTCTGCCACGGTCATGCCCCCCTGTACGGCGTCTTTGACCTTGTCGTCTGCGGCGATGAGCTTGGGCATCAGCGACAGGGTTTCGTCGAGCAGGTCCCGAGGGATGACCACCACGCCTTCCAGTGGATCGCAGAAGATGATGTCGCCCTAGAACCGGAGAGGTCAGGAGACACATCGAGGGGCCACGGTGGGCAATCGGGGGAGCCGTGTCCCGTCCATTTTACTTACCGGGCAGACATCGACGCCGGCTATCAACACTCGGACGTTGCGGGCATATGCTTTTGCCTCGGCGTTCGTTCCGACCGTGGACTTGCCCAGGGCGAAGATCTATTCGGTCAGTTTGGGAGGGGATCAGGGAAAAGAAAAGAACCTGTCAGACCACCGGGCAGAGAGCAAGGGCCGTTTGTTCGTTTGTTCGTCGAACATGATTGATGGTGTTGGGTTTTAACCCACCGGTAATTGAGACTCCCTCAGCTCTGCCAAATCTCTGACGCGGCCACCGACGACGCACCCGGCAACACCTCTGATCTTCATTCTTTGCGCCATGATGCCCCCCACGGCGGCGCACTTCTGGTCTGGCGGCTGATCAATAACGACGACGGTCCCAGGTTCCGTCAGGTCGACCCAGTGACTCCCCTTGGAGATGGAGTTTTCCACCGGCGGCGCCGAGTCTGGCGTCGCGCTCTTCGGCACAAGCTTCAAGGTACATGCCGGCGCAATGACCTTTGGCGGAGGAGCATCCGTGGCATCTCTGCTCGACTGCGGTAAGGCAAAGGGCACTGAGCGTTCTCGTCAACTATGGAGGGTCCCCAAGACCCCTGGTCGAGGTTGAGAAAAAGTAGTGGCACACCAATGTCGGCGAGATACCCTGCCCTCGCGACCTCTCCGGGCTGGACCTTCTGCAGCTTCAGAAGCGCATCTGATACCTTGTCTCCTGTCAGGCTGACCGTAAAAAGGTCATGGAGCATGCAAGTGTACTCACATCGCAGGGCGAGTATTCGCCGAGCTGGCGAAGCTTTTCTTGGAGATCGGTCTTTTCGGTGGTCATGATGTCGGGTTCAATAAGGACTATCTCTGGTGGGGGCAGAGAGTAATTGTGATTCTCGATATGAATCGTCGAGTACGCTCCAGCACTATCGATACATTGAGGGGAGAGAGTTGGAGAGAGGGCTGTAGTGTTTTATTTGACGGAATGGCACATGTCGGTGTCTGCCCGCTCCGAATTCGGAGTCCAAGATATCTGCTTCTCTCTGCTCTAGGAATACACTCAGCCAGATATTCTGCATTCAGTCCACATGGCTCTGAGATCTCGGCGCTGGTAAATCATAGCTCGGGCACATACATGACTCGGAGCTGCAGAAACACATTTCAAGACTGGTCAACACGCAAAGACATCTAAAGACGGGTGTTTCTATGCATTTCTCCAGAGAGCATCTTTGTGGACGAGAACTCGAGAAAGCAGGAGGTGCAGGCTTCATCATGCCGGAGATCTGCCAATGCCATACAGGAAATCAGCGGACGGGGTACAAAAAGGTCAATAGCTTGCCACGGGGCACGGCGGAAAAAGGATTGTGAGAGCAATGAGGGCCATGTGCAAGATGGTCATTTTTTGTGCATTTGTCGCTGTTTGATTTGCTTCACATTCTTTGACGTATGGCGCTGGAAGCAAGCAGCTACTTGCAAACACCTTGACTTTCGTCATGCATATCCGAGTTGATCGGTGAGCGTAATATGTACAATGCCTGTATCTAGGGCAACCCAATATGAACGATGGTCTCAGAGTCCTAAGTAATGCGAGGCTCGGCCTAGAGTAGAAGTCAGTGATATCGTGCCGTCTCCCAACTATTATTTGACGAACCTTCCATCTGCTGTTTACTGCACATAGTCGTTAGCATTCACATGGTGGGACGGGAGCAGAAAAACAGCGCACCTTCAAAGCCGACAGGGGCCACCACAGCATCTGATTGTCCTCTTATTTTCCCGGTCAACCGGTGGTCTCTTTCCATCACTGTCATAGTGAGCGATATGCACGCTGAGCTTTGTATTCTTTTCTGCACCCACTTTGCCTGTCCCACACATCTAACTGTCTCCTCGGCTGCTTGAAGTCGTTTGCGTAGTACCGGATTGAGGCGAGACCAGCACCCTAATGAGGCGGTCAGCTCGAAGAACCCTCTGTTCACGGGTGGAATGGCATTACTGTAACCCCAAACATGCCGACCATGATGGCATATGGCAGCAGAGCTTCGAAAGGTACGCCCATGGCGAAGAGCTATCTCATTGACTGCGGGATGATAGAGGAACAGTCGCCAAGGGCGAGCGAGGTAGATGCAGCTATATTCGTCTCAAGAGGTCGTAAAAGGAAGCTGTTCCAGGCGCAAGCGACTTTGTAGTTCTATTCTGGTCTTGTGACAATTGTTGCGGAAAGCTCATTCATGGGCGCAGGTCGAGTCGGACGTTCAGCTGCGCCTTGCCCAAAGGGGACATGATTCACGCTGCTTTAGAGTCGTTGTCGACGAGGATTGAATGTGGTCGGCCACCACAGCACAACTCTCCAGAGTCCAATACGAGCCTCAAGTTATGGTAACACTGTTGAAAGTGTTCATTTGACGTGTAACAGCTATCTTGAAACCCGATCAGGTTCACCGTTTAAAGTCCTTTACGCTGTTGCGCCCATCCTCACGCGTCGAACAAAGATTGAGCGACCACCAGCCCCTCCATTCACAGAACAACTGCTTGCGCCCCAGTGTGAAGTCTGATCGGGACATCAAAAATGCTGCGTCGCATGACAGTTTCCGTTGCATGAACGAAGAAAGACCCGATAGCGCCACCTGCGACAATAAACAACAGCAATACCATTCTCGCGGGATGGTCATTGCCCTGTCGAGACCGACAAACGCAGGGACAGGGATACATCATATAATTCTTGCCTACTTCCATGCCGTCTCCAACCTCCGTTGAGCCGGACCAGCCGATTAGCGCCAACCAAAGGACGCCCGACGAGCGGTCTCCGGCGCGATATCCAACAGATGGGCGATCTGAGAATGCTGGTGCTGAGAATGATGAGGCTTCGGGGGGTGAGCAAAATGGTCCAAACGAGGACTCAACAAGGAAAGCGGTCACAGAACAAGTTAACTTACATATCCCTAATTCAGAGGACAGCGCTCTAGGTGAACAGCTACAAAGATCAGCAGAAGAGAGCCTTAGCGATAATGAAGCCAAGGTCGATACCGATGCTGCCTCCACCTCCGCGCCACAAACCGACCCAAAAGAAGATGTCACTATGACTGATGCCGATGCAGAAGGCGAACCAGACGAGGACGAGGATCAAGACACCGGAGCTGACGAGGCGGGCGAACCAGATCAAGCCGCCGTAGCGAACGAGGAAAGCGACGAAGAGGAGGATGCCGACGAAGACAAAGAAGCTGATGACGGAGATGTTGAGCAAGAGCAAGACCAAGGAGATCTGAAGAGCGAAACCGCCGGAGCTGACAACGAAGAAAGCTCGGAAAGCAGCCAGGACGGAGGTGAATCTTCAGCGTCGCCGTCCGCATCAGCTTCCGCCTCTGGTTCCGTCTCTGGCTCTGAATCCAGCTCGGAGTCGGAATCTCAGTCAGGATCAGAATCCAGCGGAGAAGACAGCACGAGCGAGGCTGTCGACTCTAAACGAGACTGCGTCTTTTGTAACCAGTCTGTGGCTGTTGACGGTGGAGATGACGAGTCGCACTTAAGTTGCTCTGCCTGCGGCAATCACGCACATCGGCAATGCGCTCAAGAACGCGACTCGCTGCCTGGAGGCAAGCTATCTCAATGGCAATGTCCGCAGTGTACTGGCGAGAAACCCGCGCAATCAGAGTCACCAAAAGCTCGAAGCTCACGATCCAAGAATTCAGCGCCCCGGCTCGTTAGGGACTTGTTACCTGTGACGCGAGGCTTGCAAAAGCCGTACTCACACTCGATCTTTGCCCAACCCGTGATCGGGGACGGTGACGATGGGGGACGCGCCCTGAGGAAGAGGAAGTCGCCAACTCAGGAACCCCCTCCCGTCGAAAAGAGACGACGAAAAGCAACAGATCGAGCATTAGCAGCAGCCGCAACAAGCAAAGAGCTGGCAGAGAAGAAAGCAGCGATTGCACATTCGACGAGAAGAACAAGTCAAATGAAAATCACTAAGCCTATTGCGCGAATATTGCAGCATCGACCGTTCAACAAGCCCCCGCCTCACAAGTTCATTCTGGCTTTTCGCTTAGAACAAGCGAAAATCGAAGCGATCTTGAGCAAACCTCCTCGTCCCGGCAGGAGAAGAGAGAGACGATCTCAGCCGAAGAAGCCTCCCAAAATACCGGCACCGCCAATCTACCAGCCCCCTGTTCCCAAGTTCCCTGCTCTGCCCACACAACACCTCATTTTCCCCTCTGCCTTTACCGATCGGGAGGCCGAGCTCAACGCCAAACCATACGGCGGCATACTCTCCGAAGCAGATGCGGATACAAGCCGTTCATTGCCTCAACTCCGAGACCGTGAAATTTTCGAGATCGCAAGAAAAGAGGCGGAAGAAGAACGCCGAAGAGCATCTGCGGCGGCAGAAGCCGAGATAAATGGTGCGGCAGGGGATGCTGCAGCGGCGTCAGCCTCTACGACAAAACCCAGCAGATCCACGGTCTCTGGGCCCCCGAGCAAGATCAAATGCATTCAGTTTGGGAAACACGTTATTGACACCTTTTACGCTGCTCCCTACCCGGAAGAATATTCACACGAGACTCGATTGTTTATCTGTGAATTCTGCTTGAAATATTTACCCTCCGAGTTTGTGGCATATAGACACAAACTGAAATGTCCGGCAAAACACCCGCCTGGAGACGAGATATATCGCGATGGCACAGTGTCTGTCTGGGAGGTCGACGGGAGGAAAAAGACGGAATATTGCCAGTGCCTGTGCCTGATGGCGAAGATGTTTCTGGGATCAAAGACACTCTACTATGACGTGGAACCTTTTCTGTTCTACATCCTGACCGAATACGATGAGCTGGGATATCATTTCGTGGGATACTTCAGCAAGGAGAAGAGACCTGCAAGCCAGAACAACGTCAGCTGCATCTTGGTGATGCCCATCCATCAACGCAAGGGTTATGCCACTTTCCTGATCGACTTTTCCTACCTGCTCACCAGAATCGAGGGCAAAGAGGGATCCCCAGAAAAGCCGCTCTCGGATATGGGCCTTACAGCCTACCGTTCGTACTGGGACCTCACCATCTCACGCCATCTACTTGACCTGGGCCTCAGACCTTTCTCCACAAAGACTCTAATGGCTCGAACGGGCATGACAGCCGATGATGTGATCCATTCCCTTGAACGTCTTTATGCATTCACCAAAGATCCTGTAACAAAAACCTACGCGGTAAGGTATGACAAGAAGTTGTACCAGAGGATCGTGGACGACTATGAGGCAAAGAAACATCGTAAGTTGAAACCGGACAGTTTGATGTGGACACCCTACATCATGGGGCGGAGTGACCAGGCCACGTTAGACGGGCAGCCTCTACAAGCGCTTGCGCCCAGGGATGAAGGGGATGGAGACGAAGAAGATGAAGTAGTAAGCAGAGACGTGGATATGGACAGTGAGGTGGTGATGTCGAATGCCGGCAAGTCTGCTGCAGCTGGCGAATTGCTCGAGACAGAAGCGGATATGGAACGACTTTCCCCACGGTCAAGATCAAAGTCTACAAGAGCAGTGTCGCGGCCAGAGTCGGTTGGATTGCAGGAAGAGGATCTGGATATGAAGGACCCCTTACTTGTTGACGCACATGGTCACGTTGCGCCGGGACCCCCTCCGACAGCGGCACTCAGCGGTGGTGGTGCGCTCTCACTGGCCACTGCTCGTCCGCAGATCAAGGTTAACGGACTCGTGAATGGTGAATCTCGGAATGGAGGTGAATCCCATCCTGAAGGCGAAGCTGGAGAAAAAGAGAGCGGTGGTGACGAAGACGGTCAAGCATCGGGAGGAAAAGAAGAGTCCAATGAGGTTAAGGAGGGCAAGGAACAAGAACCCGTCCTCACAGGGTATGCGTTGGCCTTCCGTCAGCATTCGATCCCGCCCACACGCTTCCAAATCGATCCACCAATTCCACCGTCGATGCTTCGACAAAGGAGCACAAAGAAGCGAAATGCAGCTGCTGCCTTTGGGTCCGCAGGTTCTCCACAGACCAAAGGCTTCGGCAATGGGGAATCCACTGGATTAAATGCTCAAGGTTCCTTAGTTGCGGTAAGGAGCTCACCAAGAAACGCCAACAACAACAATAACGCCGGGTTGGGGTTGGTTGGGTCGACGCCTTCTATCAATGGCAACAATGTTGCCAGAACCGGCAGCGTCTCTCCAAAGGGACCTGGGACACCTGTCCGGCGGAGTGGACGGAGGAGTGGGCTTTCCACCATGACTGTACCGGCGTCAGACGTGTCGGTCACAAATGACAACCAAGACGGTGTGGCTGCAGAAGAGGACGAGGATGCAGCACAAAGGGGAAGTAAGGCAGACGAGGAAGAAGAAGACGACGACACTGATGATCGTGAGGGATCCTCTACATCAAGTGGCGATGAAGAGGAAGAGGAAGACGAGCAGGAAGCATCAATAGCAACGGACGAAGAGGAGAGCGAAGAAGAGGACGAGGTTGAGGAAGATGTAGATGATCCCAACGATGAAGATGCGGTTCTCGACGACGAAGACGACTCCGAGGACGACGATGAAGATGATGACGGAGATCCCGACGTTGAGGTAGATTCGGCCGACGACGACGAGGAGGATGACGACGAAGAGGAAGAGGAAGACGAGGATGCCGAAGCAGAGGATGATGAGTGAATGGGAGCCGATTTATTCAGCCCCTCCTCTCTTGCCTCCTCCCACGTTCCCCCCGTCGTCATTTATCCTACCGCATTCCCGAACGGCCTCATCTCTTCGCCAACTCCAACAAATCCCTCTATGCGCCTTTATTGATTGCAACTATCGATCGACACTCGACAGTCCTTGCTTGTCCACTGGACCGAGTAATTTTCAGTTTTGTTGTTTTTTTTAATCAAGAAACAAACAAACGAGATCAATCACGGTTGGGCTCAGCGGTTGGGCGGTTGGGCGGTTGGGGGCTCAGGGGCTGGGTGGCTACCCAGAGACATCGAGGCATGTAGGTGACATGGCACAATGAATTACTGGATACACGGATACCTGGACATGGATATACGGATGGGATGAACGCTGTTCTGGCTTGCTGGCTCCAAGGATATCCTGAATCGTGTTGGGGCCGACGGGTCTTCTGGCCTTTTTGGGTAGAATGAATGAATGGATGGTTGGTTGGTTGGCGCCGTATCGCAGCGTACTGTACCTGCCTATCGATACTATTGCCCACTTAAGCTATGTATCGAGTAGGGAGGGAGGCATCTACAGTACTACGTTTTATCTATATCGTATCGTATCACATTCACACTGTACGACATTGTACTATATGTACTGTACTGTGCTGCACTATACTATACTATATTGCATCGTACCTTGCTTGCTGCCTGCTGCCTGCCTGGATGTCCAGGGGATGATGTACTCGGAACGTCGTGGTGGTGTTGGTATCGATCGCATCATTTCTTGTCTCACTCGCCTTTACGTTCACCTTCACCTTCACCTTCAGCCTCAGCCTCAGCCTCGTCTTCACTGATCAACCAACCAACTAACTAACCAACCAGACACATCCTATCTAGGCATAGGCGTGATAGATGAACAAAGATAAATCCGACATGTGGAATCCGGGAAAGAGGTCAAGAACAAGAGGTACAAAGAGGTACAAAGAGCGACAGGCAAAGGGACAATTGTCTTACTAGGTACTCGATACTCGTACGCCCTGTGCGCCTCGTACCCCGTCACCACCATCTGTATCAAGCTTAGGTACATATCAATGCCATCTTACCCGTGATCCTGGAAAGAACAAGAAAAACACCTCATCCATCCATCCATCCATCCATCCATTCTGCTGAGCAGCAAAGCCAGCCAGGGGGAATACTACAAAACTCCCCGCGTCGAGTCGTCGTTGGCTTGCATCACTCTGGCACTACTGCACTTCCTTTCACGACCTCCCACATGTCCCGTGCGATGCATACCTCCCTACGCATCATACTGATCCATTTTCGACTTTCCTTGCGGCGGAGATCTATCCTTCCAGATCTTCTACCTTGCATGCCAAATATCACTCTCACACTTTGAAGGAAAGGCCCTGACTAAGTCGCAACGATTTCGAGGTTGCCGACGTAGGAGCTCCGTCTCTTCCACAGCTTCGATGTCTGCAACGCGCGGGGCCAATGCAACGCAAACCTGGCTCTCCGCCTCGCCACCCCTCATCTATCGAAGTCGAGCGAAATTGACTTGCCGCATCACACATTCTGTCGTCGGCGCTATTGAGGCTTCTTTTGAGGGGTCTGCCCTCCCATGTACTTGCGCATATCGGTGGCATCAACCGTCTGACGCAGGAGTCCCTTCACAGTTTCCCAGGCTTGCCTAAGCGCAGGTGGGACATTGGGGTTTTGGACTTGCTGATCGATTCTGGCACCCATCTGAAGGAAAGCCCCCTGCACGAACTGGCTTTGAGAGTATCTTGCCCTCAAGAATATGGCGTAGATGCCCAGCAGGATCCAAGAGCCCTTGCTAAACGTCAAGGCAGAAAAGAACAGACGGAACCAGAGGAGAATCTCCAGCAATGCAACCAACATCATGGATCCGTCATAGTATTCTTTGACAAATCGGCCGATAGAGTTTGCGAGGGGAGACTGAGGAGCCTTGGATGCACCTGGTGATGTGGGTGTGCTCGATGGAGCGGCTTTGGGCGGCTGGAAGGTGGGAATAATAATGGTGCGAGTGTAAGTCGCGACGTGGAAGACCGAGTAGACGGTGAACGGGAGCAAGGCCAAAGGCACCTGTCTCGCGAACAACCAGACCAAGCTGATCACTGCGCATTGTACATTAGACTCTTGAATGACCGAATGTTCCCAGGCACCAGACTCACGCAGGTATTGCACATTCTCATCCGAGAGCAAGAGATAGACAGTCGACCCAATCTTGGCGCCGGGCTTCACGCGAGCACGATAAGCCTTGAAAACAACGATACCGTAGGTGGCTACGGCAGAGATGAAGGCCAGGCGGTACGTGAACTGAGCCCACCTGGAGTAGTAGTTGAACGTGAGGTACGAGAGGCCATATCGAAGGACCGACAGGAGGAGGGTAAAGTGGCCGCAAAACCAGGCACTGAAGAACAACTGTTAGCACGAGTCCTCTGCCTTATTGTCCACCCTCAGACACTCCAGCTCCAAATATACTCACAACTGCAGCGTGGTAGCGACCTTTGCCAGGCGCTCACCCAGGGGAGCATCAGCAGGAGGTGGGGGTGCCATATTGTTCAGTCTTGCAAACTCAAATCCCTGCAGATAGATGGGCGGTCAAGCTCTGGTGTCGCAGTGACGGTACGTGATCTCTGTCGCACAGAGGACCGAGGTGCAGGAAGTGAGGACGGGGAGGAGGAGCTGCAGAGTGAAAAAGGGAGAAGGCGAAAGAGCCGACACCGGTGGTATGAGGTGGCTGTGAGCTGCAGAAGGGGTCGATTGACAGAGCAGGAAGCTGGAGAGGATGTAGAACTTGATGTGAACCGAGTAGTAGTAGAGGTGGCTTTACTTTGGAGCCAACTGCCTGCCTGCCTTTGTGGGCGCTTTTTGGGTTTGTGGGTTGGTGGTGGACATGATGTCAATGCCGAACCCGCACAAGCTGCACAGGCGTCACAGGCTGCCAGGCTGCGCAGGTGGCAGGCTGCGAGCGCCACACACTCAACCACAGTTACATTGCGCCAGTCACTCTCCATGGCCCACCACTACTGATGCCACCAATACCATCGACACTCCATCATCATGCCGACACTGCCAGCCTCCCTTACTATGAACCTAAATACATTGTATCTACGAGGTACAGAGCGAGCCGAACTACGAGGTATCGATACAGTGTGAGGGATACTCACTCAATGGCTGTTGGTCTATCGTCCAAAGGGTCATCCTCACCATCCACGGTGGCCTACATCAACCCCGTCGTGCTCCTCAAAGCAACGCTTTTTTTTTTTTGTGAAAGCTAGTGACAAACTACAAAAATACAGAGGGAACTCGCCGTTTGGTGATTGGAAGGAATGAAATTGAAGAAAGTCGTCCCAGCTGGCGAAGAAAACCCCCGTGACCACCCCTCCCGCTCAACTCTCTCCCTTCCCACAAACAAGACACGAAGGTGCAAAGGAAATATACATGATTGTTAAGGCAGGTCAAGGGCTCCTACTCCCCGTGCCAGCCCAACCAAATTTGAGACTCTCTGCTCATCTCGGGTCCTGGACGGTTGTGCTGAAATTCGAATCCTTGTATTAGGCACAGTCCAGGATGTTATCTCACTCCCCCATCTCATCTCTCAGCCTCTTCTCCATGGACACACCATGTCGGTGATGTTTTGATTAGAACGTTACAACAGCCCCAGTCTGTTGCTTGCTGGAGAACAATACCAAACAAGTCGTTCTCGAAAAAAGGGTGGTTCGGAAGGAATAGAGGATATCGCCGTCATCGTTTTCGTCCCTGAGATGAACTAGAAACGCTAGGAAAGGAAGCAGGAGCGGGATAAGATGGCCGAGACTTCGCTGGCGACGTCTATCGGAGCGAGAATCCCTTCCGCTTGCCTTCTTTCTCGATCGGTCGGCCTTGTTCAATTCGAGCCTTCTTCTCCTCTAGCTCTGCTCGCTGTCGCTCCAGTTGTTCTTTCATTTCTCGGTGCCGGGCGAATAATTCTTCCTCACTTTGCTGTAGTTTGCTCTCTTTCTCCTGCACCTTCTGCTGGAACACCATCTTCATCTCGGCTTCCATCTTGGCAAGCTTCTGCTCATGAAGCGTTCTCTCCTCTTCCTGTTTAACTGCAGGATTGACCTCTTTAAACACACTCGGATCTTGCGATACACCCATTTGGATCAGTTTGTCCGAGCGGTAGTTCTCGTAGAGTGCATTATTAGTGTGCTCTTTGAGTTCTTCCATGTGTGTTCGGATCAGCATTTGTCGTAACTTGACAAAGTCACAGTGTTCCTCATTGTCCACCTCGATTATACCCCAAGGATAGCGTCGGCCACGCACTTTGCGGCCTTCGGGATTGGTAACCTCGTAGTTGGCACCAACCACGGCGAAAGGTACTTTCGACATGATCTCATTGTTCTCGGCAATGGTCTCCTCGTCATCCAGTTCGTAACGTGGACCTTCGAAGATTTGGATCGAGTGATGCGCTATATCAGCAAGAATCTGCCTGGGTCAGTGTGTGGTCCTAATTTTTCAAAATATGCGCACTTACTCTTTGTTTGAACGCTGATACTTCCTCGTCTGTTAGTGTATCGGCCTTTGCGATAACCGGGATGAGGTTGACTTTGGTATGCAGGCGACGCATGACTTCGATGTCCAGAGGCTTCAGGGAGTGGCCGGTGGGTTGGATGAAGTAGACGCAGGCATGGACCCTGTTGTCCACAATGTTCATGCGATTAACCTTGTTCTCGGCCTCGAGATAGGCATCGAATCGCTGCTCAATATTCTCCACAATCGGTCTCCATGAATCATCGTTGTTGACGAAGTCTCCGAAGCCAGGAGTGTCAACCACGGTCAAACGCAGACGCACTCCGTTTTCCTCAATGTCGGCACTGATTGACTGGATAGAGACAGTCTTGGGGATGATGTCCAAGCTGGGACCTTTGCGTTCACGCGGAGGGTATAGAGAAGTATTGAACAGAGTGTTCACCAAGGTGGATTTACCCAATCCTGATTCACCTGCAAATTGTGAGCATATGAACTCGGATCACGACATGTGCATTGTACTTACCCACAACCATCACGTTGAAGTTGAAGCCTTTTCTGACGCTCTTGCGGTGCCACTGATTGGGCAAGTTTGCAAATCCAACATAGCCTGTCAACTTTCTTCTAACCACGTTACGCATATCATTTGCTGCCGCGGCCGCTGCCTTCGGATCTTTGGAGCTGACGGTCTGGGCGGTGTTAGCTCCCATGGGATTGCTCTCCTTCACAAAAGGGGACGCAGGTTTGCCATTGGGTATGTTGGGAGAGGGAGAAGACCGGACGCCATTCGCAACGGCAGCTGTATTTTCGCTCAAGTCAGTCATGTTGGCAGACCGTATGCTATCAGGAGTGTGTTGAACATCAGGGGAAGTGTCATCTCCATCTCCTCGGGGTCCACGATAGGCAGGAATGTCTTGGGTCGCGCTCGGACCAAGACTGTTCTTGATATCCATATCGACCACACTTGTATCCCCTATCGTAGCAGAGGCACGATTGACAGAAGACGTGCTTTGGGGCAGAAGGAAGATGTCGGCTGCAGGCGTGTATGTGAATATGAAGGAATTAGGACGGTGATGAATGCTCACCCATGTTTGGTCAGACGACGTGGTTTGTGCGGGCGACACAGGGCACAACTGAACAAAGAGAACTGCAAGAGGAATACCGTCAGCACGCGCCCAGGATACAAAGTCGCAACGATCGCGATTCTTGGGGGGAACTTTCGATGGAGCTGGTCACGGTGGGTTGCCTGCGCCCAGGGGAATTTGAAGGCCGTGAAGAATTCCGTGGTATAAAAAAAGATGCTGCGAAACTCACCTGGTCAATTGCAGGGGTCTACTGAAATGTCCTCAGAGGGTTCCAAGCGAGCGTAAGAAAGTTGAATCTGATGCGCAAGAATAAGAAGAAAAAAAGAAGCCAAAGGGATGGGTGCACGAAGAGGAAGAGGTAGAAACGTCGTGTGAAGTTGGACTGCAGCGAGTGTGGCCTCTCAATCAATTCCAGGTGGAAACCGTGAACCAGGGGACCAGGACAAGTGGGAAAAAAGGAGACACGACTGCCATGGCCGCTCGTTGCTGTTCGAGGCTTGAGAAACGGGGCACCAGTGGCTGCAGTGGCCGCAGTGGAGAAGCATGCCAAGCTCCGTCTTGGGGCGGCCACGGAAGGAGCCTGGCGCCGGTTTGATTGGAGATCAACAAGAACGCGGAACATTTAGCAGCCACTGGCAGCCCAGCAAGCCCAGTGCCCTACGCTGGGGAGCCCCCATTGGTGGCTAGTCGTTGCTGATTGTCCCTACCCCTGGATCTTCCCCAGCTTGGGTCTGGTGTCACCGTACAAGTACAAGTACTTACCAAGTACTTGCATGTACTCCGTATATTCCTATTGAGCCACGCGCAGCACCAGAGTTGAAAATGTGACTTTCGGTAGTGTACAGTCTATCTTCTGTCCTCTTCTCTAAAATACTTAAGGGGGGTATTCCCGGCCATCCGAGCCTGGTATAGTGGCTGTGGCACGTTATGTCTCAACGCCTGCAAATGCCAGGTATGTAATCCATCCACCAATCCATCTTCAAAGGGTCATGGCCCTGCCGAACCACAACCAGCCTATACAGAGATCTCTTCACATCACTCCCGTCCCTTCTTGAGATCGAAACTGCTCCATTTGTTTCAACAAATATTGGTACAGGACAAGCATCGTTCCACTCTGGACACTCGTCCAAACAAACCTGGGTCCAACTCCACGGAACAGGCCGGCAACACCCTCAGTTTTATATATCATGCGTAGACCTTCCACGACAGAAGAGGTGTCGAGTGTAGGAGTGGTATGCGGCACTGTTCGGGGCCCCGAATGGATCAGTCTTGTCTGCGTCGGATTTTTGGCGCCCGCTTTCTGGCTGCTTGTGGTTGGGGTTTCTCGATGTGAAGTCTGGCTGTTTTTCGCACGATTCGGGCTGATCTGAGTCTGTGTCCTGGTCTTTACAACATCAAGTGGGCAGGTTATAACACCCGCCGCACCACCCGCCGAGGCAGCAGTGAAGATCTCCAGTCCCAATCCAATATCTTGAGTTTCCATACAGCTCTGAGCAAATCTGCGCTCCTGCTCGTAAAATGCAAACTGCAGTGCCGAGAACGGTAGGTCGCGGACAATGGTGGCTTTGTATCCGGAGTATAGTGCTCCAAATCCTTCTGTCCTAGCTATTGTCCGCGCTGCATCCCACGTTGACTTGTAGTTGTATCCGGAATTGAAAAAAGGGTTGTTATATCGACCTTGCAGTTGCAATCGGGTCTTTAGCACTTCGGACGGAACGTACACGATGGACGCCGCAAGATCGGCAAGAAAACCTAGGACAACACATGAGCACGTGCGCAGCGAAACCGCTGACTGGGGGTGGGGGGCGTACCACTGGCGAGATATGATATAGACGGGTTGATACCACGATCCAGCATATGTCGCTTGCAATATTCATATGACCCAAAGAAGATAACTGTGCCTGGGAAGGAGCCCAACATAGCGGCAGTAAAGCCACCGTAGAGACCTCTTCGAACTCCCTCTTGCCGGAAGATCTTGATGTAGGAGTCGGACAATGAGGCATATTTCGGGGGGAAGTGAGGGTCTCCCTGCTGTCTCGTCTTTACAGTATCTAGAGAATGCATGAGAATATCGCCTGTCGTGCCGCCTATGCCTCCGGCAAGCATCGACTGTCAATCTGCATTAGCAAAAGCGGCCCGGCTTCAAGGGCTGGCATTGAGTGCTTGTAACATACATGGAGGTATGGGGGTCTTTTCAGCTCCAAGTCGGTCTCCTCCTCTTCCAGTCTCTCCATTGTCCGCGGCCGTTTATTCTGTCGTGCGCCGTCGAGATCAAAGTCTGGTTCCGCATAGCCATTGTGCTGGACTCCGATCGCAGGATTTCCGACGGAGCTGTCTGAGGAGAACCAATTCGAAAGACGTGAAGTTAGGCTCATGGAGGGCTCTGGAGCCCTTTTATTACACACAGTCGCAGGTGAAAAGAACGATCAGTGGGAAGCAAGTTGAGGGATCACGATGAGGAAGCGAGTTCTTCGCCGCAGCCAGATCAGCCCAAGGCCCTCATCTCTCACCAAAAACTTTAGCCCTCACAAATTCGGCCTTTGTCGGGACTTGGCGAGCCTTGGTCGGCCGATTAACCTAGAGTGCTCCGATTCGACAGCCTTGCCGAGCAAAACAGAGCGCCACCATCTCGTTGGTAATTGTTGGGATTAGGGAATAGATGTCAAGTTCCAACAATAATGCCATGAACCATGTCGCTATTTTCATGTACTGTGCTCAACCATGATACCATGGTCAGGATAGGTGGCACAAAGAAGCTCCTCCAGTTGTTTCCATCCAAAGCTGTTCTCCGTCCCTTAGCATTCTGACAAAAGGCTCTCACCGCGTTGACCAGTGTTCAATTAGTAGCATTGAAGGACAAACACAAATGTAGGCGGAACTTTTGCCAAAGAAGCAAGGGAGAATAATTTTGTACAAGCCAGTCCTGCATCCGCCTCGCTAAATCCAGCCAAACCCGACAATCACTCTCACAGCATCATCTCCAAGGGGTTCTCCACCACCTTCTTCAATTCCTTGATCCATTCAGCTCCCACGGCCCCGTCCACAACCTTGTGGTCGAAGCTGCCAGTGACAATGATTTGGTCATCCCATTCAGTGACCGTGCCTTCTTCTGTCTCGACCGGGACAGCAACCTTGCGAGTGGTGCCAACGGCGAGAATAGCGGCCTGGGGCGGGTTGATTACCGCAGTAAATCTTTCAACCGCGTGGTTCATGCCCATATTGCTGATTGTGAATGTGCCACCCTGATACTCTTCTGGCTTGAGTTTGCCATCTCGTGCTCGCTTTCCAAGGTCTTTTACAGAGTTTGAGATTGCGGAGAGACCAATGCTGTCGGCATTCTTGACGATGGGGGTCATCAAGCCAATGGGAGTGGCCACAGCGACACTCACATCCACTGTGTTGTGTTGACGAATGATGGACTGACCACCGTCTTCTCTCCAACTAGAGTTCACAGCAGGCACCTTCTTGCATGCAATCGCGCATGCTTTGATCAGGAAATCGTTGACGGACAATTTGTACTTGCCCTCAGAAGCAGCATTGAGTGCCTCTCTCAGCTTAAGCAGTTTTGTTACTGAGAGAGTTGTCGAGACAAAATAGTGAGGGTTTTGGTTCATGGACTCGCGGAGTCGTGTAGCAATGGTCTTGCGCATCGAGCTTGCAGGAATGTCCTCGTAAGATGGGCCAGCCGCAGCGGAAGGTCCAGTGCCTGCGGCAGGTTTATATTTCTCAATGTCGGCAAGGGTGATCCGTCCTCCAGGACCAGTGCCTTTGACGGACTTGATAGGAACACCCTTTTCCAGAGCCAGCTTTTTGACAGCAGGGCTGATGACTGGCTCCCTGTCCAGCACGGACTGGAGCTTCTCGCCTGTGGTGTCAGCTTCGACAGCTTCGGGCTTAGACTCTTTAGTTCCGGCAGGAGGTGCTGTACCAGAACCCGAGTCTGGCTTCTCCGTGGCTTCAGACGTCTCTTCTGCTGGCTTCTCCTGCGGAGGTGCCTTGTCGCCGCCGGCGTCTTCGAGAGTGAAGGATTCGAATGCCGAGACGTCTGTTCCTTCCTCGACCATCACCGCAATCGGCTGTTCTTGTGTCAGTACGTCTGCACCAGAGTTGTGATTACAGTTGCCTTACGTTTCCGACTGCGACGTCCTTTTCGCCCGTCTCCTTGAGAATCTTGGCAAGTACACCTTCCTCTTGAAACTCGAAATCCATTTGAGCTTTGTCTGTTTCAATCTCGACAAGGACATCTCCGGGAGCCAACGTGTCCCCAACCTTTTTCTGCCATGCGCCAATGTTGCCGGCGGACATGGTGGGCGAGAGTGCGGGCATACTGATCACAGTATGAGGGGGAAATGCTATCGGGCAGTGTCAGTCATATTCACGCTACGCAAGGGAAATCGTAGGATCGAGGCGCACATTTCGAGGCATAGTAGCGGCTTAACACGGACAGACAGGGGAACGGTTGGGCTCTGTACACGTGGGTTAATGAATGTGTGCGTTTCTTCAGGGTGCATCCTGTACCCTGCTGATTTCTGTAGTCTTTGCAAGGCACTCTTGCTAACTCTTGAGCTCGCGGAGGATTGAAGCAGGATGCGTGACCCTGAGCGGGCCAACAGCGTTGAGGTCGCCATTGGGAAGCACCAGCGGCGGCGGAAAGGAGGAATTCGGGCCGCAGTCTGGGAGGGCTCAATGAGGACAAAGGAGCGACGAGGAAGAGAAAAGAGATAGAAGAGAACCCTGACAGATGACGGTCCTTTCGGCGATGAAGGTTGCAAGATATAAAGGATCGTTGGAGTGTTGGTGGCAGCTAAGAAAATGGGTTGAGCAACAAAGTCCCAACTCCACTCCGGTTTCCGAAATGGCAGGGAGAGACCAGGCGGGTGACAGCTTTTTTGGGGGGCCGCTCCCTAGGCTAGTCAGACCCAACGATTGGAGCTCCGGAGGGCAAAAGCTCCAGCTGGTGCAGCTTGACTTCAATCCGCCCGTTGCAACCACGTAAGCAGCGCCATTGGTCTCTATACCTAAACGCAGAACACCCTGTCCCCAAGGGAGGACCTGGATGGTTAACGCTACTTGGCTACCTACACCCTGACTCTCCGCAACATTTGACAGATGTGAGCAGGCACTGATTATTCCTGGCAACACCGCAACGAACATTGGTATAGATCGAACCCGCAACCATCATTCCTTAGTTTCTTGCGTCGACCCTACAACTGCAATGTGTCCAACATTCCCTCCCGATTTCAGGTGATCCATAATCCTCCGTCTGCTCCATAATCCTCCTTTCCGCGCCCGGCCAAATGTCTGGCATCGAGAGTGAGCCACCTCAAGTCGACGCTCACCCGGACCACGACTTACAATCAGAGCCTCTCTCGGAAGACGAGGCCGAAGCCACTGTGCCCACACATGAGGTGGCTTCCACCGACGAGATCGACCCGAATGAGCCATCAAGTCATGGGGTAACAATAACCGTCGAGGATGCGGATGCGGAAGATGGATCACCAGAGGGGAGCAGCGAGGCCGTCTCTGAAGACGATGCCTCGGTGGTCAAAGAGTCGCAACAGGACTCTGAAAACGGTGCCGAAACTGGGGAAGAGTTGGGACAGGCTCCCCGAACAGATGGTGTCGAGGATGCGCCTTTGGATGCTGGATACGACGGTTTGAGAAGACCAGAGGAGCGTCCGGGCCAACACCAAGATGAACCAGACCCCAGAGGAGCCCCCGAAGCAGTTTCGACGGAGAGCCACGCAGATGTAGTGGAGCGACGACATACAACGGCAGCAGCACGTCCACCTCAGGTCAACTCCTCTGTCTTCGTAGTCAGTGCTCTTGAAACGATCGGCGCAGCCAAGGAAGTCCGCAGGAATAAGGAATTTGCAGATGCTGTTCAGGCCGCTTTGTCAAACATCAAGAGCACGGAACAGGCAGTCAATCCAGAGATCATATTCCGCCCGTTACAGATGGCAACCAAATCGTTTACGATCCCTCTGCAGGTGACGGCGTTGGATTGCATTGGAAAACTGATCAGCTATTCATATTTTGCATTTCCAGCTGTTGCAACCAGCCAAGCAGGGTCTCCGGACACTCCTCCTCTCATTGAAAGAGCGATTGAGGCGATCTGTGACTGCTTTGAAAACGAGGCTACTGCGGTGGAAATTCAGCAACAGATTATCAAGTCATTGCTCGCAGCTGTTCTTGACGACAAGATCGTCGTGCACGGCGCAGGTCTCTTGAAAGCCGTCCGCCAAATCTACAACATTTTTATATATTCTAAATCCAGCCAAAATCAACAGGTTGCCCAGGGATCTCTGCTTCAGATGATTGCCACTGTTTTTGAAAGAGTTAGAGTTCGACTGGACTTGAAGGAGGCACGACTAAGGGAGAGCAACGAAGCGAAGACGGACGAAGCATTGTCTGCAGAGACATCCATGCTGGGCCACGGCGGTGTGAACGGCATGAACGGACAGGTGGACACTCCAGACCATGAGACTCCTCCGCAACTTGCAGAAGGATTGTCCCCTGGCCAGGAGAAACTGACCCTGCAAAGCTTCGAGAACCACAAGAACCTCGACGATGCAATTGTCGCTGACAGCGCTCCAACAACCGTCACGCGTGTCAGACGAGAGCGCAAAAACACACGCACGAGTTCCGCTCCGGTATCTCGATCCAGCTTGCAGGAAGAGCGCGACGAGACGGAGCTATCTCCCGAGGATGAAGACGACGTCTACATCAAAGATGCCTTCTTGGTGTTTCGTTCGCTATGCAAACTCAGTCAGAAAGTCTTGACCTACGATCAGCAGCAGGATCTGCGGAGTCAAAACATGCGCTCGAAGCTCTTATCCTTACATTTGATTTATCATGTCATCAACAACTACACCACAGTCTTTACATCTTCGTTCTCGAATATTAAGAGTGGCAACAACGCGGAGCCCACGCCATTCTTGCAAGTGGCCAAACCTCACTTGTGTCTCAGTCTTTCCCGGAACGCAGCGAGCTCAGTTCCGCGGGTTTACGAGGTATGCTGCGAAATATTTTGGCTTTCGCTGAAGCACATGCGTGTGCTGCTGAAAAAGGAACTTGAGGTTTTCCTAAAAGAGGTCTATCTTGCGGTATTGGAACGACGAAATGCGCCACTTTTCCAGAAGCAAATGTTCATGGACGTTTTGGAAAGGCTCTCGGGCGATCCTCGTGCTCTTGTTGAGATCTACCTTAATTACGACTGCGACCGGACGGCCCTGGACAATATGTACCAAGAAATCATTGAACATCTATCCCGGATCTGCAGCACACCCGTTGTAGTCACTGCTGTCCAACAACACCAATACCAAGAACAGCAAACAAAACCAGCAACGCCGGTCTCTGAATGGCATTCACGGGGCGCATTACTTCCCGGGCTATCGACAGCAAGCTTAAGTCATCACCCGCCTCCTCCGCCGACAATACCGGTTGAGTATGCTCTGAAGCAGCAATCATTGCGTTGCCTAGTTGAAATTCTTCACTCGCTCGATAATTGGTCGAGTCAAGGGAGCCCGGAACAGATGAATGGATCTAGATATCCAGCGTCAAGGGGCTCATACGAAGACTCTAGGGAGTCATTGGACTACAGCGAAAAGCCACCTCCGTCGCCTCGCGCTCCAGGCTTAGGTAGCGATTCAGGGATCACCACACCGGTGGTAGAGGATGACCCAACCGAAGTCGAGAAAGTGAGAATGCGAAAGTTCGCTCTCAACGAGGCCATCCGACAATTCAACTTTAAGCCGAAACGAGGAATCAAAGCGCTCTTGGCCGAAGGATTTATCCGCAGCGACAGCCCTCAGGATATTGCCAAATTCTTGTATGCAAATGACAGACTAGACAAAGCAATGCTAGGAGAGTACCTCGGCGAAGGCGATGAGAAGAACGTTGCCATCATGCATGCTTTCGTGGACATGATGGACTTCAGCAAGAGGCGGTTTGTCGATGCCCTCCGGCAGTTCCTACAAAGTTTCCGCCTGCCTGGAGAAGCACAAAAGATCGATCGCTTCATGCTGAAGTTCGCTGAACGTTACCTCAGTGGTAATCCGAATGCATTTGCAAATGCTGACACTGCTTATGTCCTAGCATATTCGGTCATCATGTTAAACACAGATCAACACAGTGCAAAGGTGAAAGGGGCTAGAATGACTGTGGACGACTTCATCAAGAATAACCGGGGAATCAACGACGGTCAGGATCTTCCCGGAGAATATCTGAGTGGCATCTTCGAAGAAATTTCCAACAATGAAATCGTCCTGGATTCTGAGCGAGTACACGCTGCCGAGTTGGGGATTGCTGCTGCTACAAGTACGGGTTTTGCCTCAAGGGCAGGTCAAGCGCTGGCCAATGTCGGCAGAGACCTGCAAAAAGAAAAATACACCCAGGCGTCCGAGGAAATGGCGAACAAGACGGAACAGTTATATCGGAGCCTCATCAGGGCGCAGAAGCGTTCCGCAGTCCGGGAGGCGCTGTCAAGATTTATTCCAGCGACCTCGATCAAGCATGTGGGCCCCATGTTCAACGTGACGTGGATGTCATTTCTCTCAGCCTTTTCCAGTCAGATGCAGGATGCGCAGAACCTAGATCTGATCAGGCAGTGCCTAGACGGATTGAGGTTGGCTATCAGAATCGCCTGCAGGTTTGACTTGGAGACGCCCAGAGTCGCATTTGTCACGGCGCTGGCCAAATTCACCAACCTGGGTAATCTCAAGGAAATGATGGCCAAGAACTTGGAGGCGTTGAAGGTTCTCATTGAGGTTGCCTTGACAGAGGGTGATCTCTTGAAATCCTCCTGGCGGGAGGTTTTGACGTGCATCAGCCAACTCGACAGACTACAGCTCCTTTCCACCGGGATCGATGAAGGGGTCATCCCGGATGTTACACGGGCCAACATTTCCACACCTTCAGGTTCTTCGAGGGACGGAACCAGAAGTCGCCGATCCATGCAAGCCGTCAAACGACCGCGCCCGAGATCTGCGCATAGTTTCCGGCCAGAAGTTGCGGATGAAACCAAGTCTACAGACATGGTACGAGGGGTCGACCGGATATTCACCAACACTGCCAAGCTATCATCTGAGGCGATTGTCGACTTCGTCCAGGCATTAAGCGACGTCAGTTGGCAAGAGATCCAGTCTTCTGGAAATAGCGAGGCTCCGCGGATGTATAGTCTCCAAAAGCTTGTGGAAATCAGCTATTACAATATGACCAGAGTCAGGATAGAATGGACCAGGATCTGGGAGGTGCTCGGGGAGCACTTCAACCAAGTTGGCTGCCACAACAATACCGCTGTGGTC